TGCCACCATTGTGGTGATTGCCGCGACGATACGGCGCTGCATACCTTGGCGGAGTGCCCAGCTTGGGCCGAGCAGCGTCGTGACCTGGTCGCGGCCGTAGGTGCTGCGGGAAATCTCTCGCTTCCGGCTGTAGTGTCTTCTATGGTCGGGAGCGAGTCAGGGTGGAGAACCGTCGCTACCTTCTGCGAGGCCGTGATGCTCGCAAAGGAGGCGGCGGAAAGGGAGAGAGAGGCTGCCTCCTCACTCCCCTCCCGCAGCAGACGCACTAGACGTCGTAGGGTGGCCGACCTGCGACCACCGTAGGGCGCGGCCTGTGGACGACAGACTCGGGGCGTCTTGTCGTCTGACCAGCAGCAGGCCTCGAGGCGGCGGCGCCGTGTTCCGCGCGCGCCTCATAGTGGAGTCCTGCGGTCGGGGTGACGGCCGCAGTGGGTGACGGGGCCCGCCTTACCGTCTGGCGGGCCAATACCCGTCGGGGGGTTGCGACGAATGCTTCGGCGATACCCGCCCCTCCGACACATGGGTTTTTGGAGGAACACCGGGTTGGTTTTTAGTCAGTAAGAGTCTGACAGTACCTTCGCCCTTACCCGAGGGCGGTGGGTCTCCATGAGGATTTTCCAACCCGAAACCAAAAAAAAAAAAAAAAAAATTGCAATTATTATTATACCGATTTAGCGAAAGCGATAGAATAGCGAATATTTTTTTTACTATATTGAAGTTAGGAATATTCCTAAATGTAAGCAGAAAAAGACCATTTAAGTGGACTTTTTAAGACATCCGCTTAGCGTCGTAGCGTTTCATTGACTATACGGCCGTAACTCGATAAATGGACTATAAAACATAAAAACGACCGAACAAGCAATCGAGCAAACAAGCAAGCCAGCGAGAAGAGTCGAAATCAAACGAGCCAAACCTAAATCAATCGAGCTGAACCGAAATCATACGAGCCGAACCAAATTCATAGGAGCCGAACCGAAATCACACAAGCCGAACTGAAATCATTCGAGCTGAACCGAAGTCATACAAGCTGAATCGAAATCATACGAGCCGGACCGAACTCATTCGAATTTTTCAATGAACAATCTCAGAGCACCCCCGATGTCGAGTGTCGACACATCCAACGAAGTCCAGTTTCACGGTCATTTAGAGGTCAAGACCAAGTTGACCTCGAAGAAGCTAGGTGTGCTCAATAAAACCCAGCATTATTCACTCTGGGGCATCGCCTACTACTTTACAAGGCGCAAGTTCGGCTGGATATGGAATAATAGGTGCTCATCTGGGCGGAGGCACCTCAGTACCAGTTTCTTCCTCTGGATCGCATTCAGCGACAAGCTGTTTAAAACTTTGATTGCCTTTTTGTCTCGGACCAGCTGGACTCCTTGGCACTACGTGATCATTTAGCCTCGTTATTTATTCTCTATCGCATATATCACGGGGTGTGCTCTAAGGAATTGTTCGGTTTCATCCCTGCCGCATCTTTCCGCCATCATTCTAGGCGAAAATGTTTTCATCCCCACTACATAGCGTGCGTTCGTGCAGCGGAATGTTGTTGAATTTAAAGATTTTAATTATGCAGATATTTAGTGTATGACGTCGTATAATTGTGTATGGTAAAAAAAATTGTGCACCCAACCATTGTGGAGAAATTCACCAAAAACTGATTCCGCTGGGCGAACGTTGTCCTGGCGGAACTTTTTTTAATCCATAGAATAGAATTACTAACGGAACATCATTGATGCTTGGCAACATGTTGCAGACACTTACAAGGTTTGTATAAACGTGAAAATCTAGACCCCAAAGTGCATACTTTAAGAACTAAGACCTAATAAGCGTATTTTACGTTTATATTTTTATCTCTTAAACCCTACGATTTTTTCTAAATCTGTTTTTTAAACAAATTCAAAACAACGTATGTAAAAATCTACAGCTCTCTATGTAAGCGCTTTATATGAAAACTAGCTAATGGCCAAACGTTCGCGTAGCGGAAACTTGAATTTCTCCGAAGTTTATGCATGCACTAGTTTTATTCATACATACACAATTACACACAAATACACACTAATTTTTGGATACATCTCTTTTCTTCTAAAGTCTATGGATTAAAAAAAGTTCCGCCAGGACAACGTTCGCCCAGCGGAATCAGTTTTTGGTGAATTTCTCCACAATGGTTGCGTGCACAATTTTTTTTTACCATACACAATTATACGACGTCATACACTAAATATCTGCATAATTAAAATCTTTAAATTCAACAACATTCCGCTGCACGAACGCACGCCACTACATATATGGTTGATAGTCAACAAAAACTACGCGAAACTTTCTGCCCTGCACAGCAAAACTTTGCAATAATCTTCGGCAGCGGTATTTCCTAACCGGTGCGACCTTAAAGAAACGATTTCTTTTGAAAAGGCCGTCAACATGCCTCTGGTGTCCAAAAGCAGCTAACACTTACCATCATTGCGTTGGTTTGCCCTCCATTCCATAAAAAATCAAAATAAAATAGGTACCAAACTTTGGTTTTATTCCTTTATATATTTTCTCAATATTTTATGAACTGTTTAAGGCATGTTTCCGATCGGGTCTTCTGGTGGACCTTAAATGGTATCCAACATAGTTTAACTGCCCACTATATCTAAAACGAAGGTCCAGCCAAATGTCTGCACGTTTAGTCTGTCCGACTTGTCGGGTTTATTACATGTTACATTTCACCAACTTCCAAGATAGCTTCATTTTATATATATATATATATATATTTTGTTGTACATATGCTGAGACAAAATCCTCAATAATGTGTGTGTGGGTCCGACTTTTAGGTTTGGCGGACCTGGCAACCGTAACCGTGACACGATAACGTTTTTTATATGGAATAGGAGGCACCTGATGGTAAGTGATCTGCGCCGTCCATGGACACCTGCAACACCAGAGGAGTCACAGGTGCGTTGTGGGGCAATTTAAGAAGGAGTACGCTCGTTTCTTGAAGGTCGTATCGGTTCGGGAATACCGCCGCCGGAAGATCATTCCATTTTGCTGTTCGGGGCAGAAAGTTACGGGTGTTACACAGTTGTTGACTGCCAACCATCTATCTATCCTGAGAAGATCAGTGTTGGGTGCAAACCACGTAATAGCTAGACTGTGCAAAACAATAAACAGCTATAGTGATGTGACTGATGTGCACAGTGACAGTGATGGCCAATTCCGTAAAGCTATTTTTACTAAGTGAGTACTTCACAGTATTTTGCGTTTCGTCATTATCGTTTAGAGAAGTTTTATATTATATTTAATTGAGGACCGTGAATGTTCCTTTAAGACGTTCAAGTTACCCATTTGTACATGCTTTCTAGTACTCGAAGTGGTGGAGCAGTCGGGTTTGAGATAGAAATAACTCTTCCAAAGTCACTTTCATCTTCCTGAATGAGCAACTCTCGAGGAGGATAAAAATTAAGAAGAGTCGAAGCGTGTTAGTACTTCTATGATTCTAGGATTTAAAAGGAAATTTGTAACTAGAAAATCGATACTTATATTATAAAGCTGTAGAGATTGATTGTTTGAACGCGCTAATCTCCAGAACTACTGGGTCAAATTTAATAATTTTGTGTTTGTTAGTACATTTATCGAGAAAGGCCATAAAATATAACGCTACGATTTGTAGGAGCCGAGCAGCGAGTCAAACCGCGCGACAGAAGCTAGTAAGTAATAAAGTTATGCCCATGTCTGTGGAATGTGAAGATATGAAGTATAAAATATCAACTTTTAGGGACAATAATCACAGAATGACAGAACGGGTGTCACGGGGTTAACTGGGCTATGCACTCATGCATATTGTTTATTTTTGGATGGAGTCAAACCGGCGACAGATCCAGGTCCATCGGACATCGGTCAACATTTTTGGGAATTCGGCGCGTGTTATAAAAACACAAGTTTAGTTATAAAAATAAAAAGCAGAAATCTTATTGCATATCTTTTATTACTAAATCATTATCAGTAGTGACATTCACACTCACATTCCTAACTAAAACGTTTGTACACAAAGCTATAAGCTCATCATTCACTCACGCAGTCGCCGTCAGTTACTTAGTGTAACTTAAGTCATTAGAAACCTTACATTTACTTACACCCCCGATTTATAATTACCCTAAATAGCTAAAATTAAAGTCACCTCCTATAACGGGCAGGTAGCAATATAAACATATTACCCAAATATGTGGGTAAATCCGTTGAGTTGAATATTCGGTGTAAAAATATTGAGATATTTAGGTATTGTCGTGGCATACAGAACATTGGGCAATGCTCGTCGCAATACTCAACACTCAACATCAACTAAACAAAACTTTTATAACCTAAAAACGCAAATAATATCTACTAAACATTGTTGCAGTATATGAACGAGCATTTTCACAAAATGTTCTTCCACATAATCACACGATTTTACGACTCATTACTCGTCTAATATAAGTATGTGCAAAGTGAAGATTTAATTAACTAACAGATATCGTTGTACTAGATAAAATGTTTTGCACTTAACACATTAACAATGAGATATCCCGTGCTAAATATAGTCAGCACTCATAGTGACACCAAATACTATCATGTACAACAAAAAATAAAACAAAAAAATGCAGGTTTAATTTAGATACTAGGGGACAGTGTCCTGACTATAACTTTAGCAAATATATTAAAACTTTGTAAAACCGTGATAATAATTCTTACTAGCCTAGTTTCTTTCATTGAGACATTTCATTTTACATTAAATTGAGTCAATTGCACATCAAAATCAAAAACCAGTGCAACAATCACAATGATAACAATGACTATAAAAAAATTATTACAAACGTGTAATTTGTTGTAGGATTCTTTAAGCTGCTTTCAGCCTGAGTTGAGTCCGTTTACTGACTGTACAAAAAGTATTGCACCAATTATAAAGAATATGACATGAAAAGCAATATAAAAACTGAATATTATAACATTTGTTATAAATCAAAGAACAAAGTTAAAGTTAACTGCGAAAAGTGACCATTTATTACTGCTGCAATACTTTTCAATTATTTTGGCTATTACCTAAATACTGTAGGAATATATGTATCAATTATACATTATTTTGTTAACTGTACGAGTCCTAACGCTTAGGTCAAACGAACGACGCTATATTTCAGTATTCAACCATCGCGTTAACATTATGTTTACGACCCTAATTGTTATAATATAAAGATATAAACAACCATTTTGGAAATATCTAATTTATAGAAAAGTTTTTGTTTTATTCTTCCTATTTATTTAATTTACGTACGGTACACTGCAATTTAGGTATTTCGAAGCTGAAAAGGATGTCGGAATACTTAAACAATTTAGGAATCGGAACTAATTACTATTGTCCGTTGATAAGTGTTGTCACTGTGTCTAGGCATGATATCCGGCTGTGTACTGTTGAAGCAGGCAGGCGAGGTTGGCTACGTAAGGCTCGTACATAACAGTGTCGGCCGATACGTCGGTCGGTCGTCACAAGCTCGGAGTATCGTTGTAAAGTGAACATCACTTTTTCTCAGAGCCGGTGACTGCGTTGCCAGCGGTGTTGTTTGCATTGGCGTTGCCATAGTTCTGTAAAGGAAATGGTTTTTGGTTTTACTCTAACGTACATTTCTTGGACATACAATGACATTGTAGTTAGAACTTAAGTGTGGGAGAGCCAAGCTTCGGCACGAATGGGTCGGCTCGACCGGAGTGATACCACGGCCTCACAGAAAACCGGCGTGAAACAACCACAGCGTTGTGTTTCGCCGTGTGAGTGAGGTTACCGGAGGCCCAATCCTTTCCCTCCCCCAATCCCTTAATCTCCAAAACCCTAATCCCTAAGAGGTCGGTAACCCACTCGTAACTCCTCCGTTGCGGGTGTCCATGGGCGGCGCTGATTGCTTACCATCAGGTAATCCGTCTGCTCGTTTGCCGATCTATTACATAAAAAAAACTTCAGCTGCATTTAGCTCATGCAGCGTATAAGAATAGGGGGGATAATGTAATTTACACTTTTCTGTGTCATAGGCTAGAGTAGCTTGGGTCATTAAACTGAACAAAATTAAGTATTATCTCGTAACTTGAACTATGATGAATAATAATACTGTTTTTATACTAACCTGGTAGTACTGTGCCCACGCTTGAGCGTCAGGTGTGTTTCCGGCTTGGTTACCTTGCTGATACTGAAACAATAGGTACAAATTAGACATTGCGATAACTTTTTAAAAAGTATTTCGAGTATTAGTTTTCAACAGTTTTTGTCAGCAAGAATTAAGATTGAGAATATTTTAATTTTCATTCTTTAACATTACATATCTTGTCAAATAACTATTAAGCATCCAGTAGAATTCCATCGTCAATGAGACTTATTGACAGAGATTGATGAGACAATTTAGACTGAGTATTCTCTACAAATTTTGGACTGCTTCTAAACGTCTTTGATCAAGTTTGGCAGGTTGTTGCATAGTTAACGTATTGAAAGTATTGATATGTTAGTGTAAGGAGTGTGAGTGGAGCGTTACCCCGGGCCAGCCGTGTTGTTGTTGTTGTTGTTGCCACTGCTGCCACTGGTACCACTGCTGCGCCGTGTAGTTGGCGGGCCACTGCTGCTGCTGGGCGGCGCCGGCCTGCTTGGCGCCGGCCGCCGCGCCCGCGCCGCCCGCCCCGCCCGCGCCGCCAGCCTGTTGTTGTTGTTGCTGCTGCGGGTTGCCCCAATTGCCCCAGTTACCCCAGTTGCCCCAACCTGCTTAAATACAAATACGTTGACTTTAGAACTACCAACATAAAACTATACGGTAAAATGGGGCGAATAGAATTCTAAATGTGAATAGACTGAGAAGACTAGAACATCTATCAAAACGCCTTATGTGTATCTATTTACCCAGTTTTAGGTTATATGTATGTTTAAGTCTTATTTTTTGTACGTTTACAAGTTTTTCATTGACAAAATATCAATATCGTAATCCATATAGCATATCCATATAGCCATGTTAAAAAAGGTACTTCATCAAATTACTTATGTTTTCTGATCCAGCCATTCTCAAGTTTAATAAAATTCACAGACCACAACTCTGACAATGTTATATACTGTTACTCTTCTTGCATAATCAATCACTTCTTTGTTCTAGCACTTGATTTGAGATTTCATTCCATTTCAGTTTTATCATCCCTAGATTTAAAGTTAAATAAATATGCTGTAGTAGTACAGAAATTTTGCCTCTATACTTATGGAACACCATAGGAGATACAAATTTAATGTTGGTACATACCTTGGTTTTGGTTCCAGTTGCCCCATCCTCCCCAGCCGCCAGCCCATTGGTTCCACCCCTGTTGGTTGGCCTGGTTCTGGTTTTGGTTTTGATTCTGTCCATCCTGCAAACCAAGATTGTATCGTAACACTGGGATTGACTGCAGAGTAGAATGTATTTGTCATCAAGCCTACTCTCAGATTGATGGGTTTTTCTCATTGGTAACTAATGCAAGTGCAATCAAGCAACATGGTCTTAGCAGGGAGCAGGCATTTCTGAATCTCTTTAAGCCTTAGACTCTAAGGGATATACATTTTGGAACAACTCTGCCACATCCTCCTAAAATTGCTGCTACTGTGCAACCTCATATAGAAGCTAGGTTCCATGAAGTAAAGTTCACCAATCAAAGAAATTAATCGCAACGAAATAAATCATAAGGTATTTTGAAAGAAAAAGAGTTGTAATACAGGAGACGCAAAAATTTAAGCTGCTTTTCAACCGCATAACTTGGGAAGCCCAATGTCATTTGACGTGGAATGCAAATGCAGTGTTACCTTCTGATTGGGTTGGTTGGGTCGTTGGTGCGGTCCAGGTCCAGCGTGGCCGGGCCGGGGTTGCATGGCCCCGCGCGGGGGTCCGGACGCGCCGCGCTGCCAGGACCCCGCGCCGCCACCGTTGTTACCCGCACCGCCTGGACACACAAATATTACCATAAGTATTTATCCCCTAAATGTTAAATTCACGATCATCAATCCACAAATCCCTGAACGCCGACAACGCACTAGTAACACCTCAGTGTTGCGAGTTTCCGGCGCTGATTGCTTTTCTTCTTTACCTTTAGAGCCGTACCAGTTTTGCTGCCCTATTCCATAAAAAAAACGTAAGATAAGACATACCCGAACTGTTGTATCTCTACCAAGGAGTATCGTAAGCTCGCCAACAAACTGTTTTAGGGTAATCTTGGAGTTGAATGTTTTATCCACGAATTCGAATATATATATATACAGCACCATATTCGTTGTTATACTACTATACATGTATTGCAATGATTGTAGTATGGTGGCTCAACCATAAAAACAATGTCATAACACACTCGTCACGGAATGCTTTAATCAATTTAGCATAAAAATAAAATAATAATGAATTATAATTATGTAATTTGTCTTAATTCGCTGAATAACGTAATAACATATTACCGGGTTGATGGTGTCGCTTGTCGGGTCCGCGGTCGTTGGGTCGGTTGTGCCTGTCCCTGCCGAACCTGTCGTTGTTGGGTGGGGCTCCGCCCCGGCCGCCGCGGTCCCCGCGACCGCCGCCTCCTCGTCCACCACGACCGGCTCCTCCACGGAAGTCGTTGCTGTAATTCATAATTATGTTCTGTATGCTATATGGATAACCACAGAACAGAAAATTAAGTAGAAGTGCCCCTACACTCTTTCAAAAGGAAAACCAGTGTCGCCAAAATCACACATTCGCAAATCAAATTGTCCATTACACACATAAAAAAATACTATATAATTGGGTAAAAAGTTGAAACGCAACTTTAGCAAATCATCTTCTAAATGTTGTTAAAAATTGAGTCTTATAACAATGAGCGAAAGTTGTTATCATATCACATGTCACAATTAATAAAGGCGTCTATCGTGTAATAAACTTAAATAAAACAATTTACAACGGGTTCAGCCACTCGATGCTAGATGGCGCTGTAACAAATTCATTCTATTCAAAACGCTAATCTGTTCGAAATAGATGTCATATTTGTATGCACTTGTACCAATAGACATTACTATTTTGCTACGCAGATAGGGCAGGGTATCCCAATATATCGATGTTATTTATTGTATTCGTGTGAGCAATATATGTTATTTATCGACACGATATACCTACAAATAATCAGTAATGGAAAAAGGTTCTAATAGGAAAAAAAAAGAAAAATATTAACATTTTTTGAAGATTTAATATTTTTTGGAAATGTTCAAGTTATTATTAAAGATTTCGATTTAACATATAAAAGCACTACGCGCTCCTACAAGTTTTATCTCCTTTCCAACAAAAATATAATTATTAAAATCGGTTCATAAATAACGGAGACGAACGAACAAAAGAAAACATGTACGATCGAATTGAGAGTCACTCTCCTTTTTGTAACTCTGTTAAAAATCATGTACAACATTATAAAATAAAAATGGTGATTAACCACCCGCACCTACCACAGACGGATGCACGCTGTGTGTGGTTAAAACGTTGATGTGTCTATGCAATCTTAGTTAAACATTTATGAATTATACTCAAAAATTGTCAAAAATCAATTTTCTGAACGATGATGATGAAAAATTCTCGATACGAACCTAATTTACGAATGTGTCCCATCCCTAAATGAGTAGCGTCGAAACTACTGGAATATATTGTATATAACGTCACATAACGAACAAGTAGATATAAACTTAATTGTAATGAAAATAAGGCCCTTTATAGTTTGCATTGAAGTAATGAAATGTGATATTTTCATTAAAATCTAATATATTTAAAATTAACAAAGGTTAATACTCAACGATGATACGATACACCACCAAAAGACACATTTTTTTTTCTGCTTACTTTTTTGCAGTTGAAAACCGCACAAAAAGGCATAATTTCTAATATATTTCGTGTTTCTTAGAGACAACCATGACAACCGATCATGACAACGGAGCGAACGATTCTGACAGCGAATGTCCCAAAATGTAAATATATACATCATGTTGATTAGCGCGCGATGTCTGAGTGGCACTTCCACTGTATTTTCTATTCCGTGTGGATAACAATCGCTTTGTATCACATTAAATTATTTATAAGAAATGAGATGAACAAATTGTGCATATCCTGATTGGATATGCACAATTTGTCAGTGCTAGTGTTGGGCAAATCATCCAAAAATGATTTCTTTATAATATGCTACACCTGTGTGTGTCTATTCTCCCACTATTATACGGGACTCACAACATAACATGACCAGTTATCATTTTAATGTATTTGTACCCATACTTTAGCGCATTTAGGGGTTATTATAGGATTGCCCAGATCCCATTTACTACCTGTTTCATAGAACTTATACTAGTAAAAAGGTATTTGGTTCTCGAGATTTATATACAAATCAAAGCAATGTTTGCAAAAGGTCGCTGATACACAAAACAGCTAGGTATAAAAAGAGATAAAATAATGATCCAATAAATAATATAGTAAGTTACTCGTATCGGTTGGGTCCCCCCGGCGCGCCAGGTTGCGGCGGGCCCTGCCAGGGCCGGTCGAAGCGAGTGTTGGGGGCGCCGCCCCCGCGGGGCTCGCGCGGCCCCCAGCGACTGCCGCCGCGGCCGCCCGCGCCGCCCCAGCGTCCGCCGCCGCCGCCGCCGCCAGACCCCGTACTGCCACCCCACCGGTCCTCTGATAAACAAAAACAATCGTTATAGCATACACTACTATCGCGACTTACTCGCAAAAAAGATATGTGTGAACTATTAAATTCTTATAAAATGAATATCTTTTACTTTTCTTTCAAGATTCTAAAGAAATGATCGGCGTTTATAATTGGTCTCTACTATTATTCCCGGTTTGGTTTGTATGAGATGCTCCAAAATAATGGCTTGATCGTCAACTCGCGATATAAAATAAAAAATAATAAAAAATCGTTTCGCCTGACTCTGGTGCCTGAGTCATTTAGAGGCCAGCCATAAATTCATACTTATAGTATAGTTAATATTTTAGATTTTTTCAAATTCTCAAAAGTTAAAAAGGCAGTTTCGCACAAGTATAAGATTTTTATGTAGGAATAATTTTAAGTTTCGATTGATAATATTGAAATTAGTGAAGTGTGTATACACACCCCTGTCGCCTCGGCTGAAGTCCCGGCGCCTGTCGTCGCGGGAGTGTCGCTTGTCGTTGGAGCGATGTCGCTTGGCGGGCGGCATGTCGCGGTCGGCGGAGCGGTCGCGGCGATGCGAGTCCCGCGCCACGCCGGTGACGCGCGCCTCGCGGTGGTAGCCCTCCACCACTGCCTTGGCTGCCTCGCCGCTCAGCTCCGGGAATATCACCTCGTCTAGCCACGAGCACTTCTCGGGCAGCGCGAAGTTAGCTGCGACATACGAGTGAGATGTCAGAGAGGGCATGGACGGGCGCGGATGGCGGCGGAGGGCGATGGGATGCCAGTAACCAACCTTTCATGTCCACGATAGCCCCGTCGGGCACCTCCTTGCCGTCGACCTCTTCGCGTCGTTTCTGCCGGTCGCGGTACGTCTCGTCGTCGGTCACTATCACGACTGCGACCCGCCGGTACCCGTCGAATTCCCTGAGCTTCCGTCTCTGGGCCGACGGGTATACGTTCGTCTTTTTTTACCCAATGCGATATCGAAACCGCGTGTCGCGAATTACGTCGATCGCCGTCGTCGATTCCAGCGGAGATTATGATGTGGAGCAAAACATTCTCATTATAGACAATGACGATATCCAGCGGTGACTTTGTACTTTGTTTTATGTTTTGTGGCAGTTCGACACCTAGAACAAGCTCAATAGAGATCCGCGCTTATTTCAGTAGGCCGTTGTTTGGCAAAGTGACCGCTCACCGCTCCCGCGCTACAACTTACCTCGTACTCTAGAAACAACACATTATATCGCGCTGATATCGCGGAAGCGGTGTCGTGATACATAGCCTTACTCTACGCTTATACATAGGACGTACCTTATGGAGATGCGGAGGTATATGGGTGGCTTACGAAGCTAGATAGACACTATATAATTTGGCATAATTGTACAAGGACAGTCCGTGGAGAGAGATATGCAAATGGGAGGGCCAAACGGTCGCGAGTCGTGTTCGATCTCGATTGTTCCTGAATTAAGTGTGGCTGCCAAAGTGAACGTGTTATAGTAAAAGTGGAAAGGTGCTCACCTGGTCAAGGATAAAATTCCTTTTGCGGCCCTTGGCGATTTCCAACAACTTAAGCACGCATTTAGCGCACTTGGACACCATAGCGTCCCAGCGGCCCTCGTAGCTGGCGCGGAAGGGCTTACAGTCCACCTGAACGACGTACACACGATACAGTACTAGAGCTAGACGCGCGGCACGTTGCCTTACGCTACCTTACAACTAAGTAATAAGTTTGTGATACCAGGGACACTCCTTGGTGACTCGGACTAGCATACGTAGGTCCTCTTCACTCGGCGATCCACTGGTATCATATTAACTACACTGGTATGGTTGGTGACCGCTAAAGGTCGAGTTATATTGGTTTGTTATAATGTTTTGTCTACAAATGTTGCTCATATTGCACCCTGTTGAAAATACAGAGGAACATTAGTTATCAATGTCACAGTTGGAGCAGGACGATACTGTGCTCATACCTCAGTGCTGTAAGAGAACGGATCATTAGCGTGTGAGGAGTGTCGTGTATGTGAGCCAAGTGTACTTTTATTTATGTTTCGTTCACTATAAAACTATTCATTTTACACTTTGAAGTGTTGCGAGAGTTGGTTTAAACTTTTATTCATCTCATTCTTTCGTCTTCTTTCTATTTCTCTCATCTCTAGCGTTCTGTGGGGTAATTATAATTTTAATAAGTGTCTGTTTGAGTCACGTGCGCATGATTATTCTTAACTAAGAATATAAGAATCGAACTCGTTATAACATTTTCTCTTGCGAATAATGCTTACCTCTTAACAAAAAATCCAAATATTGCATGTTTCCTGTTCGAATAGTCGTCAAAAGAAATGTTTTATATTCTCTATACACAAGTATATCGATTTAAATGTATGCTAATCTCACACGCATATAACCCACCAGTAATTTTAGTGTACAATGGAAAACATAACTGTTAGTAATTTATCATTATTGAGAGAACTCATTGCAACATATCAAAGATCCTCCAAAATTTATTTTACAACATAAATAATTCAGTGTATAATTGTATGTCTAGTAAGTGTGTGTTGGTATTGTTGGTTGTATTTAGTTATTTTAATATCCAAATGTGTATCGTTCAAAAGTCTAAGTTAAAAGACGAGTGGAAAAACAGACAAACATACAAATTTTTCCTGTTTGTTGACTTCAGGGATGATAAAACAGGGATTTCGAACTTTTTTGTTAAAAACGTAATACTACGCGCAATGAAAAAGTTACACTGCATCGAATTGGGGAAAATTTTGTCATATGTGAGTCACATGACAGATACAGAGTTTTCTTTTAGCAAAGCTACAGGGCCAATCATTGAGCTAAGCACTAGGTTTTTACAGTAGTAATGGCATATTTTTGCTTTAGAACGATTTGGATATGAAAACAAGCGCGTGTGTGGTGTATTTGTGTATAGGGTAGTAGAGACGGCGTGTACCTGCATGCGCTGCAGCAGCGTGGCGGTGGACAGCACGCAGTAGCGGCGCGCCGGGTGCGAAGCCACGTGCTGCTTCACCCAGTACGTCTTGCCCGACCCCGGCATGCCCACCATCAGGATCACCTGCGGGGGAAATTAATAACGCCATTTCCAACTACTCAAATTCAATACTTTAATCCAAATGTCAATGACACTTCAATCAAATTTGTATAAGTCATAGTATTTTTACGAAATAGCTTACTTATTTCTTAAAAATATCGAAAATTTTGTGTACAGATAGATCGATGAATAAAAGTATAGTCATTTTTCAATATTTTATTGCATTGAAATTACGAATTAATTTATTTTTGACCCAGGAAAGTACCCAATTCATCTTATTTGTGCCATCATATAGTATTTTATAAGCTTCCGTGATTAATAGACACAAAAGTAATTGTTCAATTCAAACCACAAGTTCTAGAAATGATTTTGAAGCAGATACCTCCAGGCGATTGTGTTTAAAATGTAATATACCTAAATGTTTCGTTTTCATGTATATAAATGCTAAACTGCTTTCTATTAATTAAGACATCTGAAGAAACCTTTTTTATAAAAAAAACCGTGTCAATCACCAATGTTAAAAATAACCTCTAAAATTAAAACTTTTAAGACATTAAAGAAAAGTTCTGACTCATCATTACACATCACTAAGTCGCTTTCTCTTATCCTATATCCCTTTATAGTAGTACGTACCTCGCACTCAGCGATGGTGGCGGGGCGAGCGGGTCCATTGATCATGTTGGCTTGACAGATGAACACGTATCCCTCCAGTATGGGCGCCTCTTCGCCGTCCAACTCCTCCTCCACCGTGTAACTGGACACAGCGGAACAATCTTATCAGAAAACTGTTCAATGCTTAATGTCTTAATGAAACAATGAAACATATAAAACAATGAATTTATTTTTGCAAATAGGCCATAAAACGGCACTTTTACACGTCAATTTATATGTGAAAAACTAGATGAAGCCGGTTAATAAGTAAGTTTTCGCATTCGTCATTCGATTAAACATATGCAAACGCTGGGTATAAGGAAGCAAAATCCTTCCCCAGTCCTGAAATACCTAAACCTCAAAAGGCTTGTAATTCTTTCAAGATGCCCGTTGCTGGCGCCGATTGCTTACCATCCGATCTGTCAGCTAGATTTGCGGCCTATCATCCTACTAAAAAAAGCACGAGTATCGCAAGGCGAGACACGTAGCGAACATTATAGCGACCACATCGTTAAGTCATTGACTGCTGACGGATTACTAGTAAGCTTGTATTAGCGCACGCGATAACGCACTCTAGAAGCGACGTACGACGGGCCGCACCACCGCACTATGTATAAACAACTAAGGGATTACCATCAAAAGATTATTACAACCAAAGCGATCTTAATAAAATAATATTAATGTAATGTAATTCCGCTTGCGATCTCCTACGTCATAACGTACGAGAGTAAATACGAAATAGTTATATACCTGCTTAGAAAACTGACACCACACTTGAGATATCAGCAGACAATTTCTTTACAGGATGTAAATACATACTTTTCTTAGAAGACTATATTCGTTAACACTTAGAACGCCATGTCGGACAATGCTGTCCGACACTAGCGGAGGATTAGCCTTCAATAGTTTTTGTCGGCAGTCAAATGCTTACTAACTTACGAATATATAATGTAAACCTGGAAGTTTAAAGGGGGGTAATATTTTCTTAATTTATAAGATTAAGGTACAGGTAGGTCGGCTTTGAGTAATTATAGCCTGTACTCTTGGATACCCACAACCATAAATTGTTGCACAAGTCATGTTATAGGCAATTTTCGATTTTCACTTACCGGATGACAAATTGAATCCTTGGGTCCAATACGTGGCCGGGCGGAGCCTTAAGTACTTGTTCTTCAGTTACCTCACCAAGCTCACCCTCTGTGAAACATGAAAAAAATTTACATAACTTGGTTATGGGTGGTAGTAGTAAATATGCGAATGCCGAGCTAAGGTGGTTGAGTGTTCGAAGCTATCCAGTGATAGCGATATTACGTAAAATATTGTCCGGGCTACGGGTCCCGGCGTGATACGAAACTGGTGGCATAGGATCGACACAATTGTCGTTAAACCAATTTGATTAATGTCTCATGATAGTAATGAAATATAAAAATGTTTAGTGTAATTCCGCTTGCGATCTCGCATGCTATTAAAACAAACGAGAGTAAATACGAAATATTGATATACCTGCTTAGATAACACACATCACAAAATGCAACATGTGTTTAAAATAACATTTCGGCAGGAATGATTGCTGAATTTAATATTTTAAAGCATTGAATCACCCGAATTCTATAAATATTGGTGCCTGTTCTCTTTCTTTATTTGTCATCTGCATTTCTTTTCTTTTACGACGTGTTCATGTAGCATGAAGAATGTTTGGGTACATACCTGGGACAGGTTCCTCTTTAGGAGCGACCTCGGCCGCGGGCTCGCTCTGCTCAGTCTCCATGGGCTCGGCTTTATCTTCCTTCTCCGGAGCCGGCTCTACAGCTTTATCGCCATTTTCCTGTAAAATTACATCATAAGATTATAATAAAAATAAATGGCATACAATTGATATTATTTTGACCATATCCTTTGATCTTGTTATAATCGAAACTGAATAAAGGGCTTGCAGGTTCAACTTAAAGGTAATGTACATCACTAGAGATTGAGAGTTCAGATCTGTGCCCAGTCTCATAAATATCAAAAACTGGGGAAGAATTCGTTATTTAGTGCAACATGTGCCTTACACAGCTTAGAGATATAAAAACATAACCTAACATGCAAACACCAGCAGCTTCAACAATAGTTATATAGTTAGGTTAAAGTGGTGACAAATATCAATTACATTCTTGTTTGATGACACCATTTTGGTTTGACCAATGTAACACCATAGTTCTTTCTTCTCCTTACCTTAGGCTCCTCCTTAACCTCACTGCTTTCCTCCATGGGCTCCTGGGCGTCCTCCTTAGGTTGTGCCTCTTTGTCCTTAGGTTGTGTCTCTTTGTCTTTAGGTTGTGCCTCCTTGTTCTCCCCTTCAGCGGGCTCCGGTTCCTCTTCGCCTCGCTCCTTCCTCTCCGCCGCCTCTTTCTCCTTTCTCTCGCGGTCTTGTTTCTCACGTTCCTGGCGAAGAGGGAAATTGTTTTAGTAATTAATATAGCGAATAGTCTGTTGTGCAGGAGGTTTATAGAAGTTTAAATTGTTGAAGAGTCTTGTTTCGGCAAGGATGGGCCCAGCTTAACCAGAGAGATGTTAAAGGGTCACAGAAAAGCGGCTACAAACAACGCTTGCATCTCTCAAGGAAAAGATTGTCCTTTGGTGCCACCTATTAGTTGATCCATCTATTTGTTTCCCAAAACATCCCATAATAAAAATATAATAACAACAATTTTTTAATAAGATTCCAGACTATTTCTTGAAATGATGACAGTCGAGGCGACATAAATGTTATTCAATATTTCAAACAAATATTTTCAAAAATATCAGAGTCGTATGAATTCCACGTTGCCCTGGGAAAAGTGTAACTCCATATGAGTGACTCCCTTAATCAGGGGCATCAGAGGGAATCCAATCCTTCCCCTTCCCCTAATCCCTCCTAAATCCCTAAATCTCCAAATCCCTAAAAGGTCGGCAACGCACTCGTAACTCCTCCGTTGCGAGTGTCCATGGGCGGCGCTGATTGCTTACCATCAGGTAATACCATCAGATAAAAAATCAGTGTTATCCCCAACTCTGATGTTGATTTTGCGTAAGGTCGAGGTGGGCTACTCATGTCAAAGAATAATAATTTAAAGTACATACCTCTCTCTTCTTCCTCTGCCGTTCCTCTCTTTCCGCCTTTTCTCTCTCTCGCCGTTCTTTCTCCTTCTTAGCAGCCTCCTCCTTCTTGCGCTGCAGCTCAGCTTCTATAGCTCGCTTCTCTGCTAGTACTTGTTCTACGGGCACTTCGATTCGGTGCCGGACCGTCTTTGTCTTCGTTAACATGGTGTATCTTGGTAAAACAGAAATATAATGTAAATTACGTATAAAAGTAAATGTAAGTGTGGAAGAGCTAAGCTTCGGCACGACCGGAGTGATACCACGGCCTCACAGAAAAGCGGCGTGAACACAGCGTTGTGTTTTGCCGTGTGATTGAGGTTACCAGAGGCCCAATCCTTCCCCTCCGTCAATCCCTAAATCTCCAAATACCTAATCCCAAAAGTCAGCATCGCATTCGTAACTCTTCCGTTGTGGCGGGTGTATCATGGGCGGCGCTGATTCCTTACCATCAGTTAATTCGTATGCTCGTTAACTGACCTATCACATAAAGTCTGTGTTCTACTTAACGCGTACGCATGACGTTATATCACGAATCATTTTATTATAATGAAATTAAAATGAACTCAGTTCTTCATAAACTTAAAAAAGGTCAAAATAAACTCCGTCAAGTATTCAATACCCCCCCCCCCCCCTTCCCTCATCTCTGATAATGGAATTGTTTACAAATAAACTAAAAACCTATAAAAACCTAAGCAACTCACTTTGTTGGCAGGCAATAAATTTTATCGCGACCTCGATCAATGCTTTGTAGCCAATAAACTTTCATGCTATACACCTATCGACTTTTACAATAATCCATTATTTCAAATTAATTGTTCCCGAAAGACGATAATAATAATAACTACATAAACTACATACTTCGTCTTTAAAACACGCAAACGACGTGAAAAATGTATTTCCTATTGATATCTCGTGTACTATAGAAACACACAAGAATAAACACGGAAACTAAACTGTCCCTGCGGTAATAGAAACCCGGAGCGCATGTAACGCTACGGGCTGATCCCCGCAGGATAATGAAGGAAACAATTGTTTACAAACATGCAAACAAAAGCGCAACATTTCGCGAGGATCGAACTCGACGTCCCGTGTTTACAAAGCGGGAGAGATTCCCCTCCGTCAAACCGGGAACTTGAATTACCGCTCAAATTGTACACCACATGTCGCGAATCAATACATTGGGGTGGTCATGCTAAAATTAGTTTTGTTGCCATGACGTCATCTCATACGTACGTTCGTGTCTCGTGCGAGTTCATTCATCGGATGCGGCACTTTTATTCCGTTTTTCTTTTACTAGTATGTAAAGTAGTAAATAGTAAGTGTATAACATGATATGTTTATTATTTTAGCTGTTTAGTAGTAAACTTTTATGTTGTACTAAATAGAGTAATAACAAATCTGACGAGGCTGCCGATAAGGGCGCCTGTGTATACCGCGATCACGGCACGGAACAGAAATTGGAACAGGGTGATTATGAGTAAGATACCTACCGAGGTGGAAGAGTAATTTTATCGCGTTTTTTATCTTTCTGCCCACAAAACAGAGAAAAACACTCACATTTTCGACCGCTAACATTTTGAGTGAGGAATTTCATTGGTCAGACTGACGATGTCCTATCCCAAAAAAACAAACTTTAATACTTGAACAATGAATAAATAAATAATTGATATATTTACCTGTCATAACCAAAGTTGACTTTGTAGCACATGTTCTTGGTGAAAACGTGAGGGAATAACGGTTTGCCATTCAGTACTTCCTTGTCGAACTCAAACGCATTGCCGAGTTCTTCGCCGTTTAACGTGTAGGAAATTGTGCATGGGTTTGACTCTAAATCCTATAGGAAGAATAGTACACAAAATTAATCTTATGCCTATAAAATTTACAAATTAAAGTAACAACAATGATATAATTTGCCACAATCACTTATACAAAATTGTGTAGTCCTTAATACCATTTTGTGCAAATTACCAAAACTCCAGGCAAAAACGAACACTTTATGGAACAAGTGAATAGAAAAAAAGAAATACAAAGAGTCCTCAGCTCATTTACCAAGAACTTAAATGTTAATAATGTTTGTCAAAGAGCACATTTACTTTTTAAGCTTGATATAGAAGTATTACTAACCAAGTAAGCACCAATAACATCCTTCTCGTTAAAAGTTTTTCCGTATTCCTTGAACTCGCTGTTGGTGAGGGCGCGACCGGTGTTTTCGTAGCCCCAGCTGAATTCGCCTTCGCCTGTTACAATTAATTATTTAAATACAATATTAATAATTGAGAAAGAAATAATCCTTATTTCAATATTCAATGATTTCGTCAAGACAAAAGATTGCATGGTTTTGCCTAGACAAATAATTTATCTAGACTTGTTTTTAATACAGATTATTGTCTTATTATTATTCTATGAAAACATTAATAATATTAAATGCCTGATCACCATTCTCATATAAGTTACCATCAAATGTATCTGATAATTATTTAGAGTTAATGTAGATTATTATTTACACTTACCAAGATTCAGTGAGGAGTCTTCGGTTGACCAGCCTATTCTTAGTCCAGAGGTGATCTGTTCCTTATCCCCACCTTCTGTGGCCAGGACCGTGGCGCCGACACGAACCTGGGGGAGATGACAAGTGTTACAATTTTTCGACTAAAATTTATTTATACCGGTATTAGATAAAGTCTAAGTGAGTTCTAGCTAATAGTCTCTCTCTAAAATATAAGTATTTTTTAAAACATTGAGGAAAATCTAATAAAACAAGGATCCATCAAGATTAAGGAAACAAATCACAATATTAGGTTTTATCATAGCTGAATATCCTTGAATATGCTTCCTACCTCATAACAGACTTTCCCAGCATCCACGCCGTGAGTAGCTCGAGTGCCAGCCCAGGCGTATGCAAAAGCACCGTCGCTGAGAGGGATCACACCGTTCAACGCTGGCACCTCCAGGTACTGGTTAAGATCACTATCATCTAAAAGCAAAATTCAATATAAAGACCAGATTTTCAAATTTCATCAGGGTTGCAGGTATAGTCGTAATAAATTACCGTGGTCTCGACAACAGACCGTCAAGGTCTAATTGAAATATGTAAATGATTTTATTTACATATTTCAATTAGACCTCTACAGGCACTTATGAATATCAAACAAAAAACCAAACAAAGTGCTAGTCTGTCGGTCCTTTTAGTGAAGCTACAGTGCTCAACTCATTAGAGGTTGGAATGGGATGGATGTTTAACTAAACAACCATCCCATTCCATATCTAACTAGATACACATGGATCATGGACTCAGATTCACCGTACCCCTAAGGCAAACAATGTGGGTATCTTAATAGTTTAAAAAAATATGTTCAATCGATTTTATCTTGATTCATTGTTCCCTTATGAAACATCAACATATTAACACATTGTATTATTTTAAACTAAGTAATTGGATAGAGACCACTCCAGTAAGTATAGTGTTAAAGTACCTTTTACAAAATTGTAGCTAACGTTTTTAGTTCTATGATAATAGGGACTTTATACTTATACTTGAATAGTTAATATATCAATATTAACTATTCATCGACATACTCGAAAAATAATAAAACTTTGGTATGTTCTAGATCACAATCAGCTTTATTAGGGGAAGGGGCAGGGGTAGGTTCGAGGATTAAAGGGGGTGAAAAAAAGAAGTATAGAATAAATACTTACACCAAGACAATGTAATTTTGCTATCGTCAATCTCTGGTTCAGCAACTTTCACTTCGGCGGCTTCCCTCCTTTCCTTAATTTGCGCCTCCTGTTGATAAAATAAATTTTATTGCTATTAAGCTATTTTGTCTTTACCTTCCATTTCGTAACTTCAATCATTCCGACAGTAAAAAATTGTAAGGGTTTTGAAATTGCGGGGACAGCGTTTGTTATTTAGGCCAAGGATATAGGTATACGAGACAAAAAAAAAACATTTACTGTGGGATTACCCTTATATTGTTTTATTTATGCGTTTCAATTACCAAATTCTAATATATTGATATATTATGTTATGTATTCAAACAGGGAACGAGCCTATTGTTACAGCACTGAAGCTTCATAATCTATTACTAAATTAATAAAAAAGTCTAGTGATATTTTAATTGATTTCTATTATCTATCTACCTATATTAAAGGTGAATAACAAAACTGAGTTATCTAATGGCATACAGAGTTATTTTAATCACATTTCAGGGAGCGAATGATTCTTGTGATAGTGACTTTGAGTGCAAACTGATTTGGCCAATAATAAGTTTTAAAATTGAATTTAGACATAATATAGTAAAGAGAAAACGAGTAATCGTAAAGCAGTCAGATTTAGGATATTATGTTAATAAACGCGGCTTTTTAAACATGATAATTAGGAGAGCATCAATCGCGTGACAAAAAAAAACCCTATTTACGTCTCGTCTCCTATCAACATTCGTATGTTGAATTTTGTTGTATTTTGAAAAACAATTGGCGCAATTTTCGCAATAATGAATAAAGTTTCGCCCCCTGAAAGTATATGAATTACTTTTAAAATGACCCTGTGTTGATTATTTACGTGTATATATGCGACATACCTCGGGAGGAGTAAGCACTTCATTAGTGACTTCGATAGCCCTGTAGAAGTTACTCCACCGAGCCTTCTTTTCATGCTTGCGCTTCAAACGGTTCAGCCTGACTGGGTCCTGTTCATAAAGTTCTATGTTATTTTTTTTTAAACAAAACAAATGCGAACATTCGAGAAAGGCTGACCGTGAAGTTTGCTTATATTTTAATGATTGTTTATGGATTTTAGAATAGTATTACTAATTTACTAAACGAATTCGATAAAGCTTGCCTGTGGAACTAATCTAGTATGCAGGGTGACGTGTATGAATAATGAGTTGTAATTACTTTAACTATTGTCGCTTTGTATCGTGTCAGTATTAGCACTATTCACTATGACAATAATCTAGCGTAAAGTTTCCAAAACAAACTTTACGCTAAAGTATTGTTCTCATATTTACGTGTGTGAATTAATTAATGAACAGCAAAATCCACACAAAAAACCAAGTGCATGCAAAACAAAAACGCGTTCTCAAGAAATCAAAAGACCTACATATTTGTAGACTTAAATAAAATTAAAAGCCTTTTTGGACTTATAATAACTAAAGGTCTTTTGAAGTCCTGAACTAAAACATGGTCACTAAATATGCCAGTATGGTTTTAAATTGTCAGCAAAATCATGGAGTTTAGGAGTTACCTGGTGTTATACAATAGATCTATCGGTTTTGGTGGTTAACTTAAGGAAAATAATCTTAGTATGTATTTTCATATTAAAGAGGTAATATAAAATACCTACATGCAAAGATTATTTGATTTAGGTACATTACCTGATAGTAATATTTTTTAACATACAATTTTTAGGTAAAAAGACATGCCAAGCTTCAGTTAATTACCTAAACCGATAGACCATAGTATTGTAAATACAGACGCCAGTACGTCAACCTACTACAATTGGGATTTTTCTTAGGCCAAAAATAAATGAATTCGACGTTTCAATGCAATAAAATAATGCAAAATAATTATACTTTTTATTCGTCAATTTGTCGATACACAATTTTCAATTTTATTAATTTTTAATATTTTTAATTTTCGATGATTTTAGCGAACTTTTAAGAAATTTAAAATCTTGTGAGGTCAAGTCTCCCATACAAGGGATTTCATAATTTCATAGAAAAGTATAGTTTTTGACATTTGGATAAAAATATTGAATTCCATTATTATGTTTGCGGCTTATTTACATAATTGTTTGACGAGATACTCGACTAGTTTCAAGCCATGCTAGAGGCCCATACTTAAGAGCAGCATTCCGCGACACGCGACGCGGTGACTGTCGCGCTGCTACTCACATTTAGTAAGTCCCACGAAAGTTATAATAAAAATATTGAATTTGATTAGTTGGAAACTATTGTATTTTTGTAATAGACTTTAGATTATGTTACGCATGACCTATACTAACGAGAAATGAAATTAATTATTGCGATAGTGGTTTTTAACAGTAGTTGTTGCCACGACTTAACACGATAATTTGACAACGCCATTATTATTGCCTTTTAGTGTTAGGGGCTAGCTACACCACACAAGCGATAATAAGAGACTTAAGTATATGACTATAGTGTTTGTTGCTAAGTGAGCAGCTAGCTTGACTGACAGACTATTATTCTACTTTGATGTTTCAAAAGTATCTATTTATGGTTTAAGGGCAGATTTTTCACTGGTTAGATAACAGTTATCTGCGTAATAATTTTGATGCTGTCGCATCAGAATGTTTGAATAAGACAGTGACAGCAACAATTTTATTCCTCATATAACATTTATCTAACTATTGAAAAATAAGCCCTAATTGGAATAAATGATTTTAACTTTGACTTATACAGTCACAAAATCTTTCCAGTCTTTAAAAAAAGCTTCGTTTTTAAATTCGGTACTTTTTTATTATAAGTTTGACCTTCTGGCGTCTGTACTTATGTAATAAAGAGTTCCTCGTTAATCGTGGCCTAAAAAAAAAGTATGACTTACATTGCTGAGCTCCTCAAAACGTCGGGCGTCATCCTCGGCTTGTTTTCGTTCCCGCTCTAGCCGCTCCTGTTCACGAACACGGAGACGCTCGTTCAATTGATCCCATTCTTCTTCTTCAGTTAGTGGACGCTGTTTGAAAACATACATAAATATTATGTTGTTGGGCTACTGGCTGCCGCGCTGCGTATCGCGAGTTCGATTCTCGCACGAAACAACTCTTCTTGTGATACACAAACGGGGTGTCTTGTGTAAGTGAAATTTGTAGGTTTGTAAACCCACCCACGACACAAGAGAAAATCCTAACGTGGAGCAACGTTTTTAAAAAAAGAAAAAACCGAGGTATTTTACATAACACCTTTATAAAACCAGCTGTAAGTAAGTGTAAGTGTAAGTTCATCACAAAGTATGAGGGAAGAGTTAGATTGAGTATTTTTGGGTTACAAATAATAACATAACTGGTTTTACATTGTATAACCTTCGCGGAAAAGACATGACAAAATATGAGCAACAAAAACTCCCTGGTGTCTGTTTTCCTCCTCACCAGATAACAATCTAGCAAGCAAACAAAAACCACATTACTTAAGGCAAGAATAGTGTTCCATTCTAGCATGAATGTGCTTCTAACAACTGTAGATGTAAAAATCACAGTAAACCTTATTTTAAAGTCGACTGCACGGTTGGCGCGGTAGCTGGGCAACTGGCTGCCGCGCAACGTATTTCGATTCCCGCACGGAACAACTCTTTGTGTGATCCACAGATTGTTGTTTCGGGTCTGGGTGTGATATGGTGCATGTGAAATTGTATGTTTGTAAACGCACCCACGACACAGGAGAAAATCCTAATGTGGGGCAACGTTTTTTTAAAAAGAAAAAAAGTTAGTTTAGATGAGCCTCACCTCCTTCTTGCTATCTTTATCTTTGTCTTCATCTCCCTTCTCCTCTTTAACTTCATCCTTGTCTGTTTCTTTCTTTTCAGACTCTTCAACCTCTTTAGGAGCACCTTCTTGCACATCCATTGGTTCTGCAGAATAAAATTACATATTAATATTATGACCTAAAATTGTATAATTAAAACAAATTAAAAGAAATGCTTACCAGGATCGGCTTGTTTCACTGGCACTTCACTCCTGTAAGAAAAAAGATTGCATTAGTAAGATCACAACTCCTTTGATTAACCTCTTATTTCCTCTACTCAAAATAATATAACAAAGTGATAATGTATGCCTAATAAATACAAGCTAGGTACTGTGACATGAATAAACTACAGCATGTGAAGTCTTCAAATTTTTTAACTATATTTAGTATGTACCTATATACCTTTCATTATATTAAAAAAGAATGGTCATGAGTAAATAGAACCTACATGAAAATCGTAGTTGATAAGGTTCAGCTTGATCATAGAACTATTTTACGAATACGAATAGGGGGAATGTAGTGACAAATGAATTTTACTCAGCCATCTACTTTCTTTCCAGTGAAATGTGACGACAAACATTCACGGAACCCAATTGACCTAAAAAGTCTATCATCAAGTAGTGGATGCTACATTATGAATAATTGAGTAAAAATTGATGTTTTATCGAACAACCGCATCATACGCGACCTTGATACAATCTGCTGCTATTTTGGGTCTGTATAACTACATATTTATGTAAATTACCATAAATTTTAACGTTATTAAATACATATTTTTGAATGAAACTACCCATGCATAACTGGTAAATAAATTAGATATACAAACCATAACCAAAGATTTAAAGAAATATGTTTAGATTAGATTTTTTTTTGCTTCTATACAACAATAACTAAAAGAATATATATAGACCATATCGCTTCTATAGTTACTTTTCAACTTACTTGCTTTCAGGTTCGGGCTCCGCTTCCATTTCAGTAGGCGCCGCAACGGGTGCAGGTACTGGAGCTGGGACAGGGGCCGGCTCGGGTGCCGCAACAGGCTCCGGGGCTTTTACAGGTGACGGGGCCGCGACGGGCTCTGGGGCCTTTACTGGGGAAGGGGCCGCGACGGGCTCTGGAGCCTTTGGAGGGGACGGGGCTGCGACAGGCTCTGGGGCCTTCGTAGGTGAAGGAGTCGCCACCGGCTGAGGAGCAGGGGCTGGTGCAGGTGCTGGTGCCGCTTCTTTAGCCGGAACATCATTGTCAGAGTCCTCCTGGCTTGGTGAATATGGTTCTCCTGGCTTTGGTTCCTCTGGTATAGGTTCAGGAGGCTCTTCACGTGCTGGAGGCTAAAATCAATATCTTTGTGTTATGTTCCATTGCATGCATAATGTTCAATTTAGTAAAAAATTTACATGGCATACTAGATTAGTTCTTAACATAAATTCCCCATACTTAAAAAGGTCTGCACTAGCCTTTGCAATAAAACTACAATACTGTCATAAAAATATGGTGTTCAGTACTTACTGGTACTTTAGCAGGTGTAGCTGCAAGCCGTGAGGATGACGAGCGTCTAGTAGTGCGAGGAGCAGGGACAGCTCGTCTGGGAGTCGGGGGTTCATTGGCATCCTCTGTAGATGTGTCCAGTATAGATGTATCGGGTAAAGCTGTCAACAACAACAGAAAATATATACAATACAGTAAACACTTATTTAGTAGATACTATAAAATAGTAACACATTGATGTATATAATTATTATTTTATGTAATTCTAAGAATAATAATTGTACATAGTAAATTGTCTCATAAAGTTATTGTGATAAGAAACTTTCAATGGTGCTTGTTGAGTAGTTTTGAGTTCTATAATATGTAAAGTTAGTAAGGCAACAAAATATTTACACTTCTAATGATATCAATTAAAAAAACTATTCTCTTTGACAACAAAATATAAATTTATCTTATTAAAGTACTAATCATTATATTAGTAAATTAAATATGCATTCTTAAACAAATAAATAGACATTTAGTCACTTATTAAATATGTGGCTGATATATGGAGTTAAATGACAGTATTGTTAAAAAACATTACATTTCACTTTTCCAGAAAATGCTGATATTGAAATATAAAAATATTGTAAAATAGTACAAAATAATAACTTTTTACTCCTATGAAGTTTATCAGAAAGGATATTTGATTAAGTTGCTTGTGTCACGCTGTATGTAGCTGTTATCATAACTTTTACCAACCAGTTACCTAGCTTGTAACTATTATTTAAGTGAGTGCCTTATTATTATTTTGCAACTGTAGTACCAAAGATACCAAGAATTTAGTAACAATAGTTATCTGAATACCAGTTGATCATTAACTATAATACAACTATACTAATTTTATAAAGCTGTAAAGTTTGTTTGTTTGAATGCACTAATCTCTGGAACTACTGGTTCAAATTGAACCATTCTATTTGTGTTTGTTAGTCCATTTATGGAAGAAGGCTATAAAAAATCATGACAAAATTTGAAATTCCAACAGAGGGTGTAACTGCATGAGAAAAGCCTTTGATAAAAAATGTAGATATTTGTTATTATTTCTCCATAACTTACACTGATTGACAACTCGAAAGGTAATGCCAAGTGATACAGTACTTGTGAAATTAGTCTGCCTTTGTAATTTATTTGACTTTGCTTGAAGAAGAGATAAACATAAGACATTGTTAACAGCCACTTAGATCACTGGCAAACTACAGTTGCAGAGGATTCGCCAGTTTTTCTGTCACAGTTAAAAGCTTAATTGATATTTATTAACACACCATCGAATTATACAGGATACTAAATTACATGGCTGTGAGGGTTACTAAAATAATAGTTATTTAATGTAGATTTCACAATGTTTGAGACATTGTACCAGATGAAGTTGAATATAAAACACAATTTGTATAAAATATCTGCCAAATATTTATATAAAAGAGGTGAAACAAGCACTAAACAGGTTATAATTATGTCTTAAGTTTTAAGAATTTAGGTGTATCACTGGCAGAAGTATCACTAATATCTCGTCATCAAAAAAACTGCATTTTCCATAGTATACAAATGTGTAACAGTTGTTAGTTTACCAGCAAAACATAAATGAAAATTAATATAACCTATTAGTTGCAAACTCGAAATATGAAGGTTAATGACACACAAACAAAATCACTGTTTATATTTAGATTTGGCTGATAACACCCCTTTTCTATGTTATCTTCTGTTGTAAGCAGGTTTTAGAAATAACAGATATATTGATATGATCATCTTTTTACCAATGCCATCCAAAATAACATTGCCATTATCGCTGGTTAAGGAAGAACCAAATACCATAACAAGTTTTGGGCCAAATATTTTTCCCTCCATACAATTAGCTCCTAATGGCATCATTACAATTTTTGCTAGCATTATTGCGGCGTGACGTCATGTGAAACCAAGCGTTGTAAACTCATCTAACAATTTTTACTAGCCAAAAATGTACACGTGCCTAACGGAATAATATTGATTTTAATAAAGAGAGGATCATGAAAGTGTACACAAAACTATTCCCAATGGCCCCTTGAACATTTTGAGAATAGTTATTACCTTTTCCTGACTTTGCTTCTAGTGCTTTCTTCAATCTTTCAACTAAAGCCGGCTTGTTCCCTTTGGTGTCCAAACCGAGGGCGCCAAGCTCGGATCTAAGATCCACTACTTTCATCTTAGCCGGATCCATAATGAAGGTTTATTCAGTATTCTTATCCACAAATCACTCTGTTTCAGTTCACATACAACAACTACCTTATTAAGTTTTACCAAACATAACTCGCGAATTTTTCAGATACAGTGAGAAAGCGCGAATACAAACCAAGATGGCCGCGCAACAACACGTAACGGATCCGGAAACGGAAAATACCGACTCCTTAAATTACTATTTGTCTATGGCTTAGGTATGAAAGTCGACTAAAGTGGATTTTCAAAATGACTTCTGCCATAGAGATCAAAGTTTATTGGCAGATACAAAAAAGCGCGGGAATTATTAAACAACATATTAGTTGCTTGGAAACAGTAATAGTATGCTTTAATAGTTTGTGTTAATTTATTTTACTCTTTTGATATTATTCGTGAATCTCATAAAATTTAAGTTTATAATGGCGACAGTTAAAAAAGCTGATGATAAAAGTAATATCTATTATAGCCTTTGCTTTTGTTACGAAACATTTTGTGTGTCTAATTTACTAAGTGTGCTGACGTGTACTTTCAGTCGTACCCAACAACGATTTGGAGAAACGAATTATTGAAGCTTTTGAAGTTTTTGATCATTCTGCTAAACAAGTTGTTGATGTCAGAGAAATTGGGACTATCTTGCGATCTTTAGGTAGGTACCTACATGAGTATCTGTCTTCCACTAAGTACTTTCAGAAAACATCTTTAACTTTCCTGTTTGTAAAGATATATTTTCAAGGCGTCTTCGAATTTATTATTTTATACTAAAAACTTTTAAATAACTATTACACACGATATTTTTTAAGTTTATAGCAAAGAACCATTTTTTTAATAGGAAACAATATTTGTCCCTTTACAGGTTGTTGCCCTACCGAAGCTGAGGTGCAAGAAGTTATTTTGGCGACGGAAAATAAAGAAGCCACGGGAAATGTTCCGCTTGGAAACTTTCTGCCTTACTTATGCAAAGCTATGGTGGAACACAGGTTTATTATTATTATTTTATTGAAAATCACAACAGTATGTCAGATGTTGAATTTAGATTATTTTCCCGAAAAAACGGTTTAGCGGCTTGACTGTTAATATTAGATTACTTACTTGTATTATACCTACTATAATTCTTTATTGTTATTGCCATGCGACTAAATGTTACTGAAATACATGTGTGAATAAAAAAATACTTTACTACGAGGTCGGTATAACTTTTATGAGTTATATTTACTTACTTTCTAAGATTATTTAGAAATTGCTGTCATGAAGGACAATATGTGAGGAAACCTGGGCTTATAGTTTTAATTATAAATTACATATCGCCCATCCGTCTCGAACAAGCGTTGTGATTAATTCTCACACCTTTTCCGTATGAGAAGAGGGTTTTGCTCATCAGTAGGCACTTAGGCTAACTATACGCTGACGATGCCTATAAATCTTTTATAGTGGATCAGTTATACTATAATATACATGTTACCAATAACAAAATCATATATTTTTTTCCCGAATAATCCAATCAAATCAGATTAGCGATCAAATCAATGTATTGTTTTGTGTAGATTCTACCCGGCAAGTGCTGAAGTATTGCTAGCAGCTTTTCGATACTTTGACGAGGAGGGCAGAGGCTATCTGACTAAGGAACGCTTTACGAAACTGATGCTAGAAGAAGGTGAACCCTTTACACAGGTTTGCAGTTGTTTTTATAACACCCATTGTCCTTTAAGGTCTTTTGTCACACACACCTCGCTAGATCCATCATAGCAAGACCGCATTGCACGAATCTATAATTTTGTTTCCAATCGTTATTATTCCTGTTTACCGTTGTTATTAATGTCCTTCGAATCATGGACTTGACAAAATTAATTACGAACCTATATAATGCTTTATAACAGGAAGAGTTCGACGAGATGATGCAAACTGCTCTGGACCCCGTCACTGATACCATCACGTACGAATACTACATTAATCAGCTGATGGTAAGTACAATTTTCATAATTTTCTACGTACTATGGCAAACACTGCACTGTTGGAATATTTTTCGATATTGAAAATCCTACTTCCTATTATCCTATCCTACTAATATTATAAACTAGCACCTCTCGCGCGGTTTTTCCCGCTGCTCTGCTCCATTTGATTGTAGCGTGGTGTTTTATAGCCTATAGCACCCAGGAACGTTGTAGCTACCTATCAGTGAAAGAATTTTCGCAATCCGATCAGCGGTTTCTAACTTACAAATACCTCTTTATAATATTAGTATAGATGTGAAAGTTTGTCAGAATGCACGGTCGTATGTTTGTTAGTCTTTCACGCAAAAACTGCTGGACCGATTTGATTGAAATTTGGTATGAAGTTAGGTGAAAACCTTGGTTTATCATTAAGGCTGTTTTTTTACCAACAAACTACGGAATCGAATCGCGGTCGGAAATTCGTTTACAATATATGTTCTTCGAATTAGCGGAGGTATATCTTTATTTCTGTGGCTTACAATCTGTAACTCATGAAATTGGTAGGTACCATCTTCCCCCTAGCCCCTATACAATCAAACTAATATCAAGCCCGACTTTTACCATTGTGGCGTGGCAAGTCGTCTCACGCTAGAAGCCAGTTTCATATATTTATTACGGTTTGTGAGAATCTTGCGTGGCGTGTCGTGTCGCATACTGAGAAATATGTATATTCGACTCGAAATAAGAGTCAGAATTATATGAAATTACTGCTTAGGGTAGTGGTAATCAATTTAGAACTGGCAATAGGCATGCATAACCTTGGCGGCGTGTAGAATTTACGAACTACGAGTACCTAGGTGTAAAAAATTATGTAAGCAACATTGCTTACCTGATTTTTCAGTTGATAATTGACTGGTAATCACAGAAAAATAGATAGATGGAGTTTCTGATGGACTGCATCAGAAGCATAAGTCTCAAATAACTTCAATCTACTTTCAGTTTGTTATAATTTGTTGCTATGCTAAATTATTACGATACGAAATTTAACCCAGAACGATTCTTGGAATATAAAATTAAAACACATTATAATCGTAGAAATATTTATTACATGACATCCTATTATTATTACATCACGTTAAAATGGAAATCGTTCATAATATTCTTTTCTAAAATCTATTTCATAACGTTCTTATGAAATAATCAAAAGGTTTCAGTAAAACTGAAACCTAAACTCTATAATAATTGGAGTAATTCATATTTAGACTTAGGTAAGTCTTATTAAAATGACCAAGCATTACCTATTAAATTAAAGCCAATAAACAATCATAAAATATTCTCATGCATTTCATTAATCTCTTGCAATACATAAACTTAAAAGACTCTTTCGAGTGGATCTGTAATTCTTGTAATCTGGTAAATCTTTAGCAGCGTTTGCTTATTGCTTAACTAAACAATTCAGTTTAGAAATTAGGTATTCTAGTTTTGTGCGAGCCGGCTCGCTCGACGAGTACGTATAGTGCTAGGCGTGACGTTAGCCAGTCGAGCAGAAGTTCGCGTCGGGGTAGATCTCCCAGTTGTGCCTGCCTTCAACTCTCCAAGCTTATCATTCTCCAAGTTTTCATTAGATTCAGAATTAGCAGTCTGTGCATCCTCCGAATTTTCGCCGTTTCCTACCGCTGGATCAACAGATTGTGCAACTACTGTTTCTGCGGGTTCTTTATTTGATTCTGTGTCCTGTTTTGGACCATCATCAGTAGCTTGCCTTGCTTGATCATCATTATTTTCATCCTGAACGTCATCAGCTGCCTGTTCCTCCTGTGCCATTTTATTGGCATCATTTTCAACATTTTCCGGAATCCCATTATCAACTTCTTTCGTTGTGGTTTCTGTAGTAGCATTTTCACCTTGTTTGTCTCCTTTTTCAACGTCATTGCTGCTTGTATTCATTTCATTATCTTCCTCAGCTTTCCTGATCGTAGACAGCAAATTAGAGATCTGGTTGTCCAAATCAGAAGGTATGATCTCATCCAGCGATTTATCTTCTTTCTTAACTTCAGTCATAATTACATCTGTATCATTGATGCTGTCATTATTATCACCATTTTGTTCAGCGTTCGAATTTTGATTATCTTTGGAGCAATTTCTCACGCTGAGTGTGGATCGTCCTGCAAAATAGAGAAAAAAAAACATGAAAGATTGTTATGGGAGAAATTATATTTTTTTTTTCTTTTCTCAAGTTACTATCGTACCCATCACTGTGCCGTCCGCAGCCACCATGGCGTCAAAGTCAGCTTTTTCCGAAAAGCCAACAAACAGCAAGTTGTGGATAGTCCTATGTTTCTTGATAGACTTTGGGTTGAACTTGCTCAAGAAACCTTGCATGGTCCTCCTTTTTGGTAATGATGGACGGCCCATTATCTGAAATAATAAGTTGATATTCAAATAACGGTACAAAAAAAATTAAAATCAACATCAAGTAGTCAGTAGAGACGGCAGATCACATTATTCTAGCATTTAAAATGCGTAAGTTGGTGATTGTCCATTATATCATATAATATTTAATTGAGCTAATTCCTTTTTTTTTGGGAATCTCATGTAAAAGGTAGTTGCAGCCTCAAAAAATTGCAAAATATTTGGATTATTTGATATTTTTACAGAATTTCTTACCTTTACGTAATACGGCAAGTTGTACATTGTACGGTTTTGACCCGCATTACTCTGCTCAACGGCTTTGGCCTCAGACTCTCCTTTCATAACAGGTTCAGGAATATCTGACAGTTTGGTGCCAGTTATCCTTGCAGCCTTCTGGTTTGTTTTCATAACTATTGCTGCTTTAGTGCTTTGGTAAAGCGAGTCCACATTGATGAGCTTGATGATGTACTGAAAAACAGAATAATTATTAATATTGAATTGATCGCAATATTGAATCAACTGAAGAAACTTTAACATTTAGTGAAAAAATGTTAACACTACACACAACACTATATGATTTTTATTGTATTGTATCAGTATGAAACTACAACAAATAGCTTTTGTGCATATAATGTTATATTGGCTTACCGGAGTAAAACGCTTCAACAGCCGTGGTAAAATTCGCCTCACTTGGTGAACACGTACAGTCGAGTTCAAAAACTCTTTGTACTCCTGACCTTCATCCTTTTCATTTTTAGCTGTTTCAGAAAGATTGGTCTGATTATCAGAGTTCTCGTTCTTCACTTGGTTGTCTGACTTGTCAGGGTTATCCGATTTCTCAGGGTTTTCCGACTTCTCGGTGTTGTTTGACTTCTCCAGGTTGTCGGACTGCTCAGGGTTGTTTGACTGCTCTGAGTTTTCTAACTTCTCAGGAGTGTCTGGCTTCTCAGCAGTGTCTGACTTTTCAGTAGTATCCAACTTCTCAGCTGTATCTGATTTCACAGGAACATCCGACTTCTCAGTTTCCGAGTCATCGGGTTTTTCAGACTTGATGCCATTTTCTTTGCCCTCAGGTTGATCTGAATTATCATCACCTTCTGGTGTTTCCTCATTGACCATGTTCTCAAGCTATGAAAAAAGCAATGATGAAAGTTACTAATCATGTTCGTTATAAATAATCAAATTGATATCAAAATATACTCATTACTCACTTTAGAAAACATTTCATTCAGTTTGGATTCAATTAGAGCAGTCATATTGATTTTGAAAAATTCTCCTGGGTCATCTGCAAAATAACATATATCTACATTATTATATCTGTGAAAAAGTAGTTCATGTATTTTTTAACTATATAATGTGATTCATAAATACAGAAAACAAGACAATTTGGATACAAAACTATATGAGGATTGTGCCACAAGAGTACAGCAGCATTTATTACACAAATAAAAATAATTAGGCCATTCACTATTAAGACGTCTTGTTAATGATTTTAAGTGAATTAGTTAATTCAAATTAAAAAAATAATTCAGAAAATAAAAATTATAACAAAGATTAAAATTAATATTAACTACCTGTTTCAATAAACTTAGATTTCGGTTTTTCTTCAGTCACTTCCCCTAAGGTCCCTCCTGTTTCTATAGCTAGATTGAGGATGTCAAGATCAGTTTCTTCAGGGAATTCCTCTCGATAAATCGCAAGTATGTCAATTAAACTGCCGACTACTTTTCCTAACATGACGTTACGAATACGTTCCCGCACGGCTTGTTTCATAACACGCTGCATTTGAAGAGTGCGTAGCAAGACAGCGTGCTCAGGTTTCCGATCGATCATCCCCCTTACGTTTTTCATGATCGCCCCCAAAGCCAGCTCCAAGCGCCCGCTCACCTGCTGCGTCGGCACGCGATCAGGAAGCAACATGTTCGTCACGTCCCCTGAGGGTGCCCCGGTTGCAGCTGCCACCAAACTTTTTCGTTGGGCGACACTGTGAGACGCCAGCTTATTGGGAGCAGGGGGCGCTTTGGACTTTGTGACTTTAGTTGGAGCGAAGTTCTTTTTTTGTTGTGTTAGTTTTTGGTTCGCGATCTTTTGGCCTATAGATTGCTTTATCTTTATATCCATAAGAGGTGCTGGCTGGCCGTAAGGGTGCTTCGAACCTTGCTTTGGAAAATTGGACCTTTGGTTGCGGACATTTGCAGGTCCAGAATTACTGTTTGGGTTGAACTGGGGTTTCTTTTTTGGATTAACTTTTTTAGGGGGACCGTCGTATTGCCACTGAGATTCAGGTTGGCGTTTTCTGCCAAACTGATTTCGTTTGAGTCCGGAGTCATACATGTGGTTATAATCGCGATTGGAACCATGCTGGTCTGGTTCATCATATCGCATTTGATCATATGATTGTCTCTGAAATTTAATTATAAATAATGAAGACATATTATAAACAATATGCTGAAGTTTAGTCAACTATGGCCATTCATTCTGATTACCTAATATTTATGTAAAAATACTAATAAATTCTTAAGTAAATTAATAATTTAATCAGATGAATGGCAATAAATACTTCAGCATATGTGAACTGGTCTAATGATGAAAAACCATTAGAACTATGTTCACATGAAGAAACTTTTTCAGATTATGATAAACTCCAATAGCTAAAAATATTCACAGAGCTAGGTTTAGAACACAGTAAGTTTTAACCTTTTAAATTCCATACAGACACTGTCATCAAAGGTTTGTCGAAATAGTCTCCTGACCAAAAAATAATGTTGTGAAAAAACATTGTCCACAACAACATTATCAAATTCCAACTTTTTCGACAATACTTTCTAGTGTCATGGTAGAATCTATAAGCGTCTTGACTGTGGCCTAATTATATTTTTCTCAGCAAATTTTTTCAGTTTTGGAATGTACCATACTGACGAAAATATAGTAGTACATAATTGATTCCACATCATCAAGAAATAAATATGAATTTGTTTGGTTCTCTTTGAGTAGGAACACTAATAAAATACAACATTTGTTCACTACAAAAGACTTGAGAGTAAACATTTCATCATCTTATGACAGTATGACTTAACTCAAGAATATGATTGTTGGCTACACAACAAGTTTGATAACAATATATGGTAAGAAACTAGTTGGTAGGTCAACAATCTATAGCAGTCTCACATATGCTCAGTTTTTAGCAATGCTTAATAAGGCATTGCAGGTTGGGGTGTTGTATGTATAGACTAGACTAACTATTAAAGATTTAAAATAAGTTTCTATGATACTTTATAAACTGATAACTAATACATACTGAAACAAGTGGCATGCCTGCAAAATAGAGGTCAGAGAGCTGAAAAGCAATTATGAACATACCGAAGACTTGTACTGCTGCTCCATTACCAGCAACTGTTGTTGTTGCTCAATCATCTCACGCTTGCGCTTAAGCAGCTCAAGCTCCAAATCAATGTCCTGATAAAAGTATATTGAATTGTAGTGTAAGTTTAGTACAAGGAAGGAATAAGGAAGGCTGAATAACCTCTTAAAATATCAAATGAAAATACATTTTTAATATATGTTGGGTCTTGCTTAGATCTGTTCATGAATATACTAGTATAATGAAATAAGCAATGAATTACACCAAATTATACTTGTATGCTTATATTCATTAAGGAATATGAATGTCAGATATGCCTGTTTACTAAGATTTGTGCTTAAATCTGTGTATCAACTAAATACCAGTGGTGATTTCATAAGATTGGTTTTTATGAAAACTGATCTTAATAATAAATTCCGTATACATTTGAGAAAGGACATATGATTGTGAACATAATTCCGGTAAAATGTATTTTTTGAAATTTATCAGTAATTTACTATAGGACTCATTCTACTGATATTGTGTTTATTTTAGTAACCACTTCATTCACATACATTAAACAATAACAAAACAACTAGATGCAGTGATAATGACACCGCATAGTTTATGAAAACTTTCTCTATGTACCTAGACGACGTCATTTAAATTGTAGACTTCAGACTACAATAAAAATTAGGTACCTATTCCATGAATAAATGGACATGCAATGAAAAAATCAATCAATAATGATATAAATATTATTAAATATACGTCTAACGAGTGATACAATGGGTTATCCTTGCGTCCTTAACAAAAATTAGCACTGATTTACGTGTATTATATGCATGGTAATTAATTATACCTGTAAATGTTCCGTCATTAAGGGCCCGTGATTGCCGCTCATGTTGTTACCACGACGTCCTAAGCTGCGTCGCATTTTGCTTATTTGTTACTTTGATTACCTTCGACTTGAAATGAACTAGATAATCTAGAAAGTAGAAAGAAATGTTGAGAATCTTCAGACTAAAAGTTGACACTTGACAAGTCACTAAACGCCGCGTCCACTACCTATTCAATTACTGTTATCTTGTGTTGCCATGGTAATAATATTTTTCCTACGAATAGTGTTAAAAAGGTATATCGCTTAAAAACTATAGTAATTTTTGTATTTATTTTTAAAAAAAGTTAACATTTAGTAATACGGCGTTTAAGATACTATTTCATTTTTAAAATTCAATTATATAGATTTTAGTTTATTACTCTGAAAACTTTGAATAAGCTTTCGTTATTCCTTAATACACCTTAATTTATTTAGCATGGCAACAATGTCAATTTAATCGATATGTTTTAGGCAATGCCAAAAAAGAATGTAAAAATAATATTTAGACGATTAAATCAAATATTGATTTTTAATAGTTATTATGGTAGAATAAACTATTATTTGCCACTGTTTTAACTTATGGTTGTATTGCAGTAAGTATTATAATAATCACTGCACAAACACAATGGTGTTGTTCTTGAAAAAAATCTACACACCTCGGCCCTGATAATCCCACATTATCTTAAATTCTACTTTAATTCCTGCCATTTCTATCAAAGTCCATAATCCCAATTCCCATCCTATCCTGACTACATTCCTTTCTTAGGTGGCGCAAAAAGAAGTATACGAACTTGCAGATTTATTCGAAGAAGAAAGAAAGAGGCTAGAGGACGCTCAACCAAAAAAGAGACGAGCTTCTTCATTACTGCGAGCTGCTGCTCTTCCAGCTACCTAATTAAATAATTTTCATTACATGATTATTAGTTATAAAATTGTGGTTAGTACGATAACCTGAAAGATCGCCTATTTAGTAGCTCTAAACTGTAGCTATCGCTAAATTACTATTTGAAGTCTTTGTATGAAGCCTTTTTTAATGTGGTTGTTTTACGCCGTTTTCTGCGGCCGTGGTATCACTCTGGTCGAGCCGCACTTTTCATGCCGAAGCATAGCTCTCCCACACTTGGTCGGTAAAAATTTACCTGAACAAGTGTAGTTCTCTACAGCAATCATAGGTTCTAACATGACCTTGAATTCTCAGTTTCTTTGTACATGGACTAATATGTTTATCTTTTTTCAGGTGGAAGATGAAGTTGCGGAAAACCAGGAACCGACGAAATAAAAATATTATTATTTGGCAATCCATAATACTCACTAAAAACTCAATGTAGAAAATCATAATAAAAATAAAACATTGATTCATTTTATAATTTTTTATTTCACTTTATTGGAATCAATTTACATGAAGTTAAAGACATATGTCTTTTCCTATAACTAAATATAACAAGTATAATTAAATTGGTACTTAATTAACTATTCTTCGTCGGATCCACTACATTCATCTAGTACAATACCTTCGGACAGAAGCGCAAAGATATCATGGTCATCCAATTCATCATTATCACTTTCAACATTACTGGTTTTATGTTTTTTAGCAACTTTATTTGTGACTTTTGGAGGCACAGGATTCTGTTTCTTTCCTGTGTTATTGGTATTGGAGATGGGTTTGTTACCTGCCTTATTGGCATTAGTATTTGGTTTCTTTATTTCCTGACTTTCAACGGGCTTAGCTACATTCTTACCAGGTGGCACTGTTTTGTTTGCTGTCTTATCCTCAACAGTCTGCGTTTTCTCAGCAGGTGTGTTGACCACTGTAGGTTTATTAGCAACCTTGTCATTATTTACTGATGGTTTATTTTCAACTGGTACCTTTGTAACAGCTTTTTGAGTAGATTTTTCGCTATCTGCTTTATTAATAACTGGTTTTTCATTAGCTGCTTTATTTTCAGCTGGGTTTTCACTATCCGCTTTATTACAGCTGGTTTCTCATTAACTACCTTAGTAGCTACAGGCTTACTGGTAGCAGAATTCCCATCTCTTTTATTACCAGTTTTGTCAACTTTACTAATATTCTCATTATTCTCATCCTTATTTATGTTCAACTTTGAAGGATCACTTGCAATGCTTTGTGTAGGTTTTCCTTTATCAGTTTTTACCTCTGATTTGTCATCCTTTTCGTTCACTTCAGCTTCATCACCGGCATTATCATCTTCGTTGTAGAAACTTGAAATTAAATTTGGTGGACATTTGGTAAACTTATAGATTGGGTTGATTGTCACTTTTACTCCACCTGTAATTAAAGCATATTCACATTTAAGACATTTGAAATTGTAGTATAAATTGGACTAGGACTCAAATTAAGTAAGCGTGGGAGACCCATGCCTTGACTGTTGGCCGTGTAAAAAACTAAACCTAAACTCTGTTCTCGTTTCCTTCATTCTGCCAATTCTCAAACCCCTTAACCTCGGCACCCACTTGCATAATTTAGTGATACGGGTGTCTATGGCAGTATTGATTGCTTACCAATGGGTAATAAGTCTGCTTGTTGGCACCATTTCTCACAAAAAAATATGATCAAATATATTGTTTTATTATATAAATCCATTATAATAGGTATGTACTGTAGTAATTTAGTAAGAGTCTTTTTGACAAAAAGTAAATAAAATCTATAATTGATTGGGGAAACCCTATGTTCAGCAGTGGACGAAAATGACGGATATTATAATGAAATCTATTCGTACGAACCGCATCTAACATCCTTATCGCTACAAATTCTGTCGAAGTCGCTGATGGTCTTCACTTGCGCTGCGAACATGTTGACCGTCTTCTCAATACGTTTGAACGCGATAAAGTTATATCGCTTAAGGAAATCACCTAGTTGCTGCTTTTCTGGTTTTCCAGAGAATTGGACCTGAAAAATCGTATTTAATATATCAGTATTAATTTTAACAGGGTCCTGTTTCACAATGTTTGAAAATCCACTATTTACTTAATACGTAATTTATATGAACTATAGGGTCACATGAGTTTATTGACGACTAATACTTATGGAAGCGCTTAATAAGTGTAAATCAAACACCAAATTGACGAAGATTTCAATTAATTCTAATAAAATTAAGTTATGTGGGGCACAGACTGCTGTACTTATGAAATAATAAAAATATACCTTAACGTAGAGTGGATTGTGAACATTCAACAATCTTTTTGTGATATTCAAGCCCAAAACCTGAAAGGAAACAAAAAATGTAAATTAAATTCGGGAACTAGATTCGAAGTGCGTTCGTAAATAATTTGGCGAAAATATGTACGCTATAAATGATATCTACATTTTGTAAACAAACTATAAAGGTAGACCACGTAGAGAGTAGTGTACCTATATCCTTTGCGTTATGACACTCTCTCACCTTACTCAGTAATATAACTGAGACACAGCAAAAGTATAAAAGCACATAAAAGTCTTGTTACCACTGCCAGACGTTTGGTTTTCCTTTACGGATTGTTTTTAAACATTTTATATGAATCCTGATACAATCAATATATAATACTATTAACTTAAATGGAAAGCAAAACACTACTATAAAGGAATTGCTTACGTTTCTCAGATCATCACCGGCTGCATTCCTCAGCTTGTCAACTACTAGAGCCTCTGCTTCATCCATGGGATTGTCTGGAAGTTCCTGCCATACCTGTATGTTTGAATGTTTATTAGTTAACATTTTATATTACAAGAGCGCAGGTATGTCAACTTATTACAAAATTATATAACAATTTAGTAGAACGAGAGTCTGCTTGTGACCACGACCTGTGCAACCGGGTCGAAACGTCAAGCCTACCAAGGTATTCAAATCATAATTTTCCGCGTTAATACCCGCGTAAATATAATGTTGTTATTATATAACAATTAAAATATAGTAAGGAAAGTTGTTTCGGTACGAGTGGGTCGGCCCGACCGGACAGAAATCCCTCCCCAATCCCTAAATGTCCGAAACCCTAATCCCCAAAAGGCCGGCAACGCACTCGTATCTCCTCTGGCGTTCGAGGTGCCCCCTGGGGTGTTGCTGATTTATCGCATTTTTTTATGCCTTATTACCTAAATGTTTTTTTCTTGCAAACACTAATGGATAGGTATGAATGATATAGGCATGGAATAACAGTTACCTTATGAGAGACTAGAAAAACTACAAATAAGAAGTTGTATATCCCACAGTATCTTGTTTTCCGGGATAAAAAGCAGCTTATGTCATATTCCGGAGTGTATCCTATGCCTGTGTCATAATTTCATCCAGATCCATCCAGACGTTCTGACGTGATTGAGTAACACACTTTCAACTAACTTTCGCCTTTACAATATTATAATTCGCCTTAATAGTAAGAATTAAGAATAGTAAGATTAGTAAGCTAGAAAGAAGATGTTATGAAATATTTGAAAAATAGAAATATAGGTACCTTACAGTGCAATTTATTGACTGATAGAGAGGTTGACTGGTAGAGAATGCGTTCGGGCATTCTCTACCAGTCAACCTGGATAGAACAATCCACTACATAACCTGGAGACCAACTGGTAGTAGTTCCAACTTTCGCCTTTATAATATTATAATTCGCCGTAATAGTAAGAAGTAATACTAGTAAGATTAGTAAGCTAGAAAGAGGATGTTATGGAATATTTGGAAAATAGAAATATACCTTGATCATAATATTCCTGAGTTCTGTTTCCACCATGTTGGTCATGCGGTCGTTCAACTCGTAGTGGCCGGCGCTCTGTACTGGAGTCTCCACGGGAGTAGGCAGGGGCGCAGGTTTCTTTTCTTCCTCTACCTTCTTCACATCTACTGCTAAAGAAGATCATTCATGAATTATTAGAAATGAATTCATAAAATTATTCTTATTCTTAATTAGAATGTTTGCTCAATCGAAAAAATCAGGAAATTCTAAACCGCCATTATTACCCGAAATACTAGAAGAGGAATTTGTGTTACCGAAATTTTTAAATAGATCACTATAATATTTTCAGATTGTACTGGCAGATATGTAAATACATATCATTTTCTTATTTTAAGTTTAAAGTAAGATTGGGTCTACTTATTATAAAATACACTCACATTTTTTGGCAGACGTGGTTGAAGTTTCGGGAACATTTTTTGCCGGCACTAAAAAATAATATGAATCAAATCATTCAAATATTTGAGTATAATATTAAAGTTTATCTTGAAATAATATAATACCTCTGGCAACTTTAGGTTCACTGCTGCTTGGTTTCTGCTCAAGCTTTGGTAATTGCTCTGGCTTTCTTTTCAAGACTGTCTGTAGAGGTCTCTGTTTCTTCGGACTTAACACCGGCCTTTTTTCTATAGGAAAATCAAACATAGAATATTCAATATACTAAAATATTACTTTATTATTTAGACTTACGACAGTAGATTAAAACATGAAATAATCAAGCACGTGCATTTTGAAATAAGAAGTCATTAAATATATTAGTACATCAAGATAACATCAACATATAACATCTGCAAGGCATTCTATAATTAAGATTTCTCCAATCTCCGTCGACTTATTCTTGCCCTTTTCTATCTAGAAAAACAAATACAAAAGAATAAAATAAAGGTTAGGTACCCACGTAACTCCGCAAATTGCCACAGCAATATAAAGATATACAAAATTTTGGGAAACAAAATGCAACAGATAAATTTATATGTGATGAACACACATCACCCTCCTTTCTGTCATGCAAACGGCTAAAAAAGAGTTTAAAATGAACAACAAAATATAATTTAAACAACGATTTTAAGCCATCCAGAACGACAGGAAAATTTCCACACTGCTACAAGTCTTCCTAAGATTACAAAGAACGTATTTACAGCGAAATTTTGCAGTCTTCATGCTAAAATCTTGAAAGATGCGTTCCAGTAGTTCCACCTAAAAATTTAAGATATCCTAAGAGGAGCCAAAAAGAAAAAAAGAGTGAAACTGATTTAAAAAGAGTAACCATGGAGTTTCTTGCTCATTCTTCTCCATCAGAATCTACACTTTGGAACGAGCAAATAGCTTCACCAAGAGAACTGACCGACAGACTGACACTATATCTTCAAAATTTTGTTTGACGTTCAAAAGTGCCTGTAAGGGTCTAATTGGAATAAATGATTTTTGACTTTTGACTTTTAGTAGAAAGTCCCAAACGTACATAATTTTCTTCCTTCCGCAGCAACAGATATTCCTACATAGCAAAAAATGAATCATAATCAAAATCGGCTGAAAGACATCCACTGCTGAACACATTGCGTCCATAAGAAACTGGGTATGCCATAATCGGTATTAGGTTGAAGTTCATTCATCAAGAATTGGAAGGACATTGTTACCCATTCCTCATTGGATGGAAGCACTTTAGGACATGAGCGTTTCGAGCAGAAAAAACAAACCACTTCGTCAGATCTCAGAACATTCCTAGACTTAGTAATCCGAATATCATTGGAAACACGAAAAATTGTAACCGCACTGCATCTTCCAGAAACTTGTGTAGTTTTTAAGTTAAATTCAAGCAACATTTACGAAAACCCTTAAGTCCAAAGAGGAGGCCGTTTAAGAGGACATTTCCACCTTTTGTAGCTTCAAAATCCACTTCATTGAGGAGAAGAATGATGAATATTTTTTAAGATATGATCCAATTTGACAGCAGCACTAATAATTAAACCAGTTTATAAAGCGATTGAGATACTGACTTTTACGATTGAGATAACCTTACTTACCCGAAGTAACTTTTAATAAGAAGAAGTAAGCGGGAATTCATACAAATACCTGATTATTTACTATAGATGACAATACTCTCGAATTGATGTAACTGCTTCAAATCATGCGTTCCTCGTTTCTTTATAAGATAAATTTTAACATAGTATTTAATTTGCAGTGCAATTTATGGATAGAACAATCCACTACATAACCTGGAGACCGACTGGTAGTTACTGGATTCCTTGAAGTTAAAACGGCATTAAATGAAATGCTGAAAGAAAAAAATTAAGATAAGGAGAATCTTACCGTGCATTTTTGGAGAACGAAGACAAAGTTTTCAAAAGCAGGCTGTGCTCTGAAATTGTGGACTGGCCGGAATGCGCTTACGTAATCCACAATAATGCGAAACGTCTATAAAAATAATCAACAATATTAAACAAATGAAATAATTATCTTAAATAAAAAACCTTCATCTTAATATACTGCAATAGGCTGACTTACTTTTGTGATTAACTTTCCTCTGACGAATTTACGAACTGGGTCGTGAGCTAATAGGGAGCTCAAATAGTGTACAGCATCCACTACACAGGCCATGGTGCGAAGCGAGAGGAACTGGGAAGCCGAATCCTTTTTGTGAAGTTTTGACGCGGAACATCTACTTTTTACATATTTAAATACACGATAGAAATTACTCTGTTATAGAAAAAAAGGAAATGATAATTACAATTAATACAGGGTTTTTTTTCGCAATTTCCCGTCAAAGCGGCAACGGTTGGAATTTGCTCTGAGATATATCAGGTTCTAAAATCCCGGATTAGCAAACACGCGGACTTACTCGCTTTCAAATTCACATAGACCTTGGATTTTTTATCAAATAAAATGCTTTGCCATACAACGTGAAAAAAAATACCATCAGCATTTGATGATTGGAAACAAACATACAATCTGTGCGAGACATTTATTTGAAAGAAACAGTTATACATACCTTAACGTAAAGAAACTTGTAGGTACATTTTGTAAACTAAATAAAAATGACACCCTAAAGATCTTAATCTAAGCAAATCACGTCATCACCAGAGTCTGATTCTAAGTCCATGTTAGCTACATCGTAACTGTCCGACATCTCTGCCTTGTATTGCTTGATCATCTCCTCCAGCTGTGCTTCAGTATGCTCCGATTTAAAATACACAGAGTGCGTAACGTTATACTGGTCCACGTAGTCTAACTGATACTTCATGCTCGACAGAGTCTCTAATGATTCAAAATCTATGTCTACCTCAAACACAGCTTTCTTACATTCAGACGTAGCCCAAATAGGTTTCCAAAGATTGAAATTAATTCCCTTTACGCCCTGATTACTCTGTTTGATCCTCTCCGCCACAATTCCGGGAACGATGTAATTTTCGTTGGGTACAGTAGCTGTCATTCTGAAATACCGAGTCTTTTCGTCCTGACCGCCCTGTACAATGATAGTCTGTTTATTCACCTTGCCTAAATGCTGACTCAACAACCACTTTTTTGTTTCCGGATTCTGTGGAATTACACCGAAACTGTTCGGAGGGAAAAAACCGTACTTAATAAAGTCTGTCCTAGAACTACCATCCTGTTGATGATAGCGAAACATTTGATAAATTAAAACTTCTTTTATTTTACGTGCCTGCGTGAGACTTAGACTTTTGCAACCTTTGAGAGTTATTTTAACAAGTGACAGATCGAACGAGAGGGATGGCATCGGTGAATTTTGTATGGCGTCCGAGATCTGAGAAGGGGTAACGGTGGATTGCTGCTTGAGACCCTCATCGAAAACATTCTTATCGACGGCGACCACCTTCAGAAACACGTTCACTTTCTGCAGTTCATAGCTGAGCATCATTTTGTGTTTCTCGAGCGCGCGCGCGGATGCGGGTGGCATATCTACGTACAGCCGGGTCCCCTTCTGCGTGACAATCTTCTTGACGAACTTTCCAGGTGTGGATGTTGACGCCCTCTAGCTTCTTGTTCTGCAGCTTGAGCTTGTCGAGCGGCTCGATGTTGCGGCTGCGTGAGTGGCCGGGGAGCCATATGGCGGCGCGCTGGTACCACAGCTCTTCTTTGGTGTACGCTAACACGTGGAAAGGCTGGAACTGGTTGAAGTCTAAGTTGACGAGCCAGTCCCGGGTAATGTCGTCTTTAGTCAGTATCTCGTACCGATATGTATTCTGTAAGCCTTTAAGAGTAAAATCTGGGGCCCAGCCTTGCGAAATTTCAGTTTCCTTTATCATTTGAGAAATGAGGAACTCTTTCAGGAGGTCCGCCTCGTGTGCTGAAATTTTATCAAAATCATCTTTGCATAGATACAACTTGTGCCCGTCGTCGTCAGAGCTGAGAACCTGTTCCTGGTACTGCAGCATATCGGGACCGGTAGCGAATACTGGAGTAGGTGAAACAGGTTTGTAGGGATGCATAAATGGCGCCGGCACCATCACGGGCACCATACCCTGGGGCAAGACTGGCGCCATTGCCGGCTGCATGCCTAGCATTGGCATGGTTACCAGTTCAGGAGGCAACATGTCCACATTCCATCCTGGAAATTTTCAAATATTGATAACTATTGAACAATGATTTCCTTAAGTCAGGCTAACCTTATGGAATATTAATGTTTCATTTAAAAAATAACAAATGAATGGCACTTACTAGATTGTTTAAATTTGGTTCTTGCGTCGGGTTCTGAAAAGATGGAAGGGGCATGTGTAGGCTTACTGGCTGACTTACTTATGAGTATGGATTACTCCGCTGTGAAGTGTGTATATCTGTCTGTGTGTCTTGTCTTACCTGACTTTAAGTTGGGGCTCGGATCAGGGCGAGCGGTTTTGGCAGGAACCTCCGTCGATTCTGTGGAAATAATAACAAAATTAGATATATAACATTTAGATGGGTTTTTTGCTAACACTTCGAGTAGTTGCAACACTTAATAACAAATATTTATTATTATTAGAAATTTCCATGCATTCAACATTTGTTACATTAGAATATTTTTATGAGTCCTGTCTTTTTAGTCGGTTCTCGGATGACCGAGAGCAAAAAGTAACCAATATCATTGAGCACGATTATTAGCTTACCTGGCGCCTGTCTCTTGGCAACTCTATAGTGACTGGGGAGCGACGACATTACGTCCAGCAATAACTTCTCTTCGTCCTTGTAGGTGTATTTAGCCTGGAACTTGATGATGATCTCTATGAAGGAGACATCATTGTCGCCGAACATGTCGAATACGATCCGTGCGATGGCAAGCTGCAGCTCCTCCATAACTCGAGCCCTGTGCTCCTCCTTAGCCGGGCGATAGTGCTCATGTCTGTCTAGAAGTTTGGTGCATATCTCCTCTATGGCTTTGTCGCGTTTCATTCTGATGGCAGGGTTGACGGTGAAGCGGCGATCTTGTTCACGTTCAGGTTGCTTTGAGTATTCCTCACGAGGCCGGAACTCTGGACGCCGCATATCGTCTGGGCGTGTATCGTAACGAGACCTATCGTCACGAGGTCGATCGTCGCGCGGTCTATCTTCTCTCATCCTATCGTCTCGCAGCCTGTCGTCCCGTGGTCTATCATCCCGCGGCCTGTCGTCCCGCGGTCTATCATCCCGCGGCCTGTCGTCCCGTGGTCTATCATCCCGCGGTCTATCATCCCGTGGTCTATCATCCCGCGGCCTGTCGTCCCGCGGTCTATCATCCCGCGGTCTATCGTCCCGCGGTCTATCGTCCCGTGGTCTATCATCCCGCGGTCTATCGTCCCGTGGTCTATCATCCCGCGGTCTATCGTCCCGCGGCCTATCGTCCCGCGGTCTGTCATCCCGCGGTCTGTCATCACGTAGTCTATCGTCCCGTGGCCTATCATCACGTGGTCTCTCCTCCCGTTCCCTAAGTCGCAAGTGTTCTTCCTCCCGGTATCTATGTCGGTCTTCATAACGCTGAGATCTCTCTTCGCGTTCTCTTTCACTGTGGTAGCTCCTTGCTTCATCCTCCGCATAATCATCCCTTTTCTTAGAACCCAACCGACGCAATTCCTCTGCTTTCTTTTTGAACTGCAAAGCTCTCTTGTAGATGTCTTCAAAATCTTTATCGATATTTGGATTAACGGCATCAGCTTTTCTAGTATCATGGCGAGGTGACGGCTCTCTACGGCGATGATATTCATCTGAGTGCATGCGTTCCTCATGCTCCCGCGGTCTTCGAGATTGTTCGTAATCTTCCCTTTGAAGATGAGGTTTACGTTCAATTGAAGGCTCTCGCCGACGATAAGCATCACGGCGGTCTGCTTCAAAATCGTCTCGTGGAGAGAATTTCGTTTCCCTTTGTACGAAGCGCTCACTGTGACTGGGGTGCGGTATTGGTTCTCTCGCTGGCACCTCCTTGGTCGGTCGAACTTTATCTTCGATGAATGGTCTTCGCTCGCTGTTGTCAGGACGTCGTTCTCGCACATCTTCGTCTTTTCCGAATGGTCGCTGCCATACTGGAACATGTTTGGGACCCTCGGCTTGCTCTCTCTCAGGGAAAGTACGAGTGGTTCTGGTGAAGGAATCAGGCTCGCGTCCTTTTTGCCCAGGCCAGGACGGGGGTGGAGGCGCGTCGCGTATCTCGGGACTGCTACGCTTTTCGAGAGCCCAAGATCGGCGCGGCGAGTGAGACGAGCGAGGCGAGGGAGAGTGCCTCTTGTAGCGGTCTCTCAGCGGAGATCTATCTCGTCGAACCGGTGAGCGGGACTTCCTTTGTGGAGTAATTGAGTGTTTTGGATCCACCGCCACGTCGGGAATACGGTCTCTACTCATTTGCATCCTTGTAATGTCGCGTCTCTCGTCGTCTTGTTTCTTCATAGCGACAGGTTCGTCTCTTTGCCACGGTGAGATTCGCTGGCCCTGTCTCCCGCCCTGCATTGGATACTGAACGCTCTCGCGGGCGTCGGAACGGTAACCACCTGAGTACATATCTTGGTTTGATGCCTGGAAATTGAAAGTTAGTTTGCAACAACGTTTTTGAAATATTATGGTTACTTAAATTACATAAAATAAAAGACATACACCACATATTAGAGCGGGAGAGCACCAGAAACGCATAAAAAATCATTTTGGCATACATATCTCCACTCTACATAAATTTGTCAGTGGTTCCTGTTTATTCTGTACGTTGCTTGCTATAGCTATGCTTTGATACTAGTGTGTTCACTTCGTATGACATCCTGAAATAGTTTCGTCTGACTACAAAAACAAAAAGAACGAAGTTTTTAATTCGTCACAATATTTTATTTCGTTCCGTGTACTGCACGAAACTTGAGTTAACTGTCTTTTAGTTTCACACCTTTAACGTTTGTCTCTTTTCATCATATCTTATTCACCATTTGGTAAACAATTAAAACGAGAATTCCTTTTGAGCCAGTTTGATCGATTTGTAAGTAAGGTTTTCCGTGACAACATACATAAAGTCATTCCAACGGTTCAGGGGTGTAAAGGGGTCTTGTACTTCTCAATACAGTGTATTATGTAGGATCCTAATTGTAATCTTCTTCTTGTGAAATAAAATCCAATAACTGATTCGGTAATTTATCTTTTTTCACAGTATCTACAATTGATCTTCCTTGTAGTTCAATTAAAATTAAGAATTGACCGTAAGAATCCACTACCGAGCAGTGCACCAACTTTATATAAAAGCCTTAGATTTATTATCTAGGGAGGCTTGACAGGCCGGTCATCCACTTTAAAAATGGCTGCCCCAAAAAAAAATGAAAATGCTTGCGAAGTTTTCGATTTCATTTCAAGGCATAGTTTATGAAATTATTTACAGAGTACTAGCGAATAGGTTTTCCAGTTCCTTGTAAATCTAAAGCCTTGTACAAATAGTCTTTTTATGTGGAAATTATCCACTATCCTCATTGCTACCATCATAAGGCTGTCACCGTCCTGGAATCATGTGCTGGACAAAGATAAACTTCTTCATGGGCAAGGTCCTGTTACGCCATTAGATATCTCTCTATTGTGTTGATGACATTACTGGTCGTTCAGAAACGGTCTCAGAATACTTTCAATTTCTTCGATCAGTTTTGGTCACGAGCAATGTAAACCAATAAGTTATTCTTTCAAAATGACACAACAGTTTGTTTGTCACAATGTCAATCCTGATAAAGCCAATAGTCCCCCAACTCTCTCTAGTCAAAGTTTCAATGGTTCCATCGAATCATAAGATATATTTTTCTTTTAAAGTTGGAAAATCTTCCATTGGCTTTTTTCGCCCTGAGTAGATGGCGAGAGGGAGTGTAGGTCTCTTGCTTACAAAAAACCAAACCGTTTTCTTCGAGCTGGACGGAAGTCCAGCATTGGGCTAGCACCAGCAACCAAATCCCGATTTCCAGCTGCAGTTGCCAACAAATGTTAATGCCTTAGCGTGCAATTTTTTTTATAAACAATTGCTGCAACAATTTCTAGACTCAAGAGCTCATGATTAACTTGTTGCAATAGATAAAAACGGCTTGCAAGGATTATTATTTTCTGAGCATCTAACTATTACAGTTCGGAAACATACCTCTGGTGACAATATCAATAAACCAGAATTATACCCCAGAGTAGTTTTGAGCAGTTCTTCGCTTCAAGCGAACTTGACTTATTTCAGTTAACTTCCAAGTTCCAAGTAGAGTCCAAGTTATGCCACTTTAAGTAGTTTAGTTTCTGATAATAACCTGAGGTTGTTACATGCAGGTAGACGTCTGCTTTTTCTTGTTGATTGTCTTTGTAAATTTTGTTATACTGACATTATCTGTTCAGCTCGGCTAGACTGGTAGTGAAAAGCCTTAGGCATTTAGTCAGCATGTACCCATTGTGCATGAAGCTTAAATAAATAAATAAAATATCTTAGTCGGCTAATGTAGTTTTGTAAGCTGGGCAGAATTGGCCCCCAAGCTGGAAACTTAACAAGTTTATATCTTTTCTAGATTAATTATATCAAAAAGATACATTGTTAAACCATTTTGTTCTTAAGTACATTTTGAATTGCTTTTTCAAGTTCTTTCTCAACTGGATGGTTATTCTCGACGATGGCGACTGTTCTTGGCTTTCCACATGTTGCTCAAGTTATTGCAAGTACTCTCATGATGGTCTTTCGAAATTGAGAGCAGATGACCTGCAAACCTAATGATACTAGTAATACTAAAGTAGAATAAAAGATTGGTAAAAGAAGTAGTTATTTGCAGCTTTATCTTTAGGCTCGTGAGATAGTTTCCAGCCTCTTTATGTCATTCCTAGCCCTCTTAGTTTTATATTCTAATTTTCGCCAGTGGCGCTGCAATCGCTTTTGGGGATAATTCCCTTCAAGCATGTTATCTTTGATGATGTTGAATCTTCCTACGATTATAAAAATTCTGTGTACAGATTCTGAGAACCAAGATAGGCACTGGTACACTTTTACGTATTATGCGTCACGCTTTTTTAAGACCGAAAGGGTAGGTAGAGGTCCCCTTTTTTTTTGAATGAACACACATTTTTGTTCCAATGTAATTTTATTTACAACTCCATCCACATCACAGAAAAGTAATTTCACAAGAATGTATCAGTTTCCGTGGTTTAGCCCCATTGTTGTCTTTTTCAGCTGGATGTATTAAGTCCTGTTTTTTTTTTTATTTATACAAATTGTCAGTTGGTACCTTTTAAGTCTCTAAGTACCTATGTACGGAGAGTACATAGGTACTTTTAAACTTGTATTACCAAGGCTTTATTTAGAAAGTCATTAATGACTCATTCGTTGTTGTTGTATTAGTATTGTGTAAACCATTTTTATGGTTTGATTAATTTTATTCAACACAGCTTCTTAGCGTATAGACGTGTCTCTTGACCAACTATACACAACTATTCTTCTTTCTGTAACTGGTACAGACTTACGTCAACAACTTTTCGCCTTGTCTTGAAACCTAATACCGTTTAAATAAATAAAATAAAAATAAATCAAACAAATCACGACAAAAATAAACTCAAAGATATGAAAGAAACGCAAATATAAATTACACATAGAAACAGATATTTTGCAACAATTGTAGATACATAAAGGCGCATTACCTACAATTAGAATCTTCTACACACCATGAGATAATGTCGTCGTAAAATTATCAAACAATCGTAATACAATTTACAACTTGAACTGATCTGCGTATATTTGTAACTCCATGCAATAAATATACGGCGACCCTATTGCCATATACCTACAGGGTACATTTGTATAATGCACTAGCTAGCGCAGTTCCACCCACTGCATATGTCTCATTGGTGGTAGCTTGAAGTTTTATCGACTTCCTTCATATTTGGTCCTTCTATCAAACACAATTCGAACCTGTACTTTCGGAGATTATCGCTCCTAGCATATGTGTAATATTATGTAGTCAGAAGATCATTATTCTTAGTTACATGTATAAATTATATAGTTAGTCTATGTAGTAATATGCTTGATTCTACTATTAGTTTGTCCCATCTACATACAAAGATTTGACTAAGTGTCAAAGTACCACACACAGCATTAATTCCATCATTCTGTGCATGTTTTGAGTTTATTAACCATTTTATTAAAATAAATTACCAAACTCTGTACTGTCTTATGATGCCTAATTCGCAATCAAAACATTTTTAAGTATAACTAGAAGCCCCCGCTTCTTCAGCCAGCTTCGTGTCCATTTGTTTTGTTAAAAAGCTGCAATTGACAGGGTTGCTATTTCCCGACTTTTCTCTCTACTTTCCTGAAATTTTATTTTATAAGAACCTACTCCTGACCTTAGTAATCATAGCGTACAAATAATAATTAAAACAGTCTCGCTTTTCACGCTTGATACCATGACTTAATTTATATAAAAAATTATGTGTACTTACATGACTGGTAGGCTCGTAAGCAGGCCGAACTTGTTTCAACTTATCCGGTCCGAACTTATCCAGCTTGTCGGAATGATGGCGGTCCGGGGAGTACCTATATTATTTAATATTTTTGTTGATTTCACTTTTTATGCCGTAGATACTTTGGAGTGTGAACATCAACAATATTATTCTAAGATATTATTTTAATTTAAGCTGATGTACATATTTTCTATACGAAACGTCTGACACCATCAAAAACATACTTTAAAGAAAGTGTGGGGGAGTCATGCTTCGGCACGAATGGGTCGGCTCGACCGGAGTGATACCACGGCCTCATAGAAAAACGGCGTGAAACAACAGCGTTGTGTTTCGCCGCGTGAGTGAGGTTACCGGAGCCCCTATCCTTCCCACCCCCCAATTCCTATCCCAAAATCGCCAAATCCCTTATCCCCAAAGGTCGGCAACGCACTCGTAACTCCTCTGTAGTTGCGAGTCCATGGGCGGCGCTGATTGCTTACCATCATGTAATCTGTCTGCTCGTTTGTCCCTAGATTCCTCCAAATCACTTTATTATAATGCAGCGGTCAGCAACCTTTTGTTTGTTCTTACTTGATTTTATATTATATTATAATGAAATCAAGTAAGAACAAAGAGTCCCTTCAATTCCCTTGTAAGATTTTGAATTAAAGCTAACCTGTTCATCCTCTGTGGAGAATCTCGTCTGCCGAGTGTCGGCCTGCGTCCTGGAGAAGTTCTTCGAGATGGTGACACCAGCCGTCTCATTGGAGAAGGTCTTTTGTGGGGGGAGTCGCGCCTTCCTGGGTGGGGGTGGTGTGGGGCGGTGTGGTGACTCGAAACATGACGATCTGGCAGTGACGAAACATTGTATATTATTATACTAGTTGGTAAAATATACATATCAAAATATGATATAAGGACAGGAAATATGTATTTTTAATTTGTACAGAATAAGTCTAAATAATGTGGCCCGGAGGCCACCATGATGTTACACACCTATACTAGAATATATCTTTTATTTACTTACCAGGGGATGGTCTCTTTCCGGTGGGTGAAAATTTCCTGGCATGGGGAGAGATTCTTCTGGCGGGTGGTGATACTCTCCTACCAGACGGGGATGGTCTTCTTTCCACAGATCTTCCACCATGGGAAATAACTTCTCGCCTTGGGGAGTGGCCATGCCTCTTCTCGTACTCCTTGAAATACATATAATATGTTTATGTTAATAATAATAAAATCTGATGTTCGACTTAAGACAAACCAGCACCACTACCTATATTATAAATTAAAGTAGAGGTAGATTCTGTCTAGCTTATGTTAGGGTTCCAGCAATGAACATCAACAACCTTAGGAAGATTTTATTACTTGAAATAACCCATTCCTTCTGTGGAGCAGGAGGTGGCAGTAAACATAAAATAATGAGAAAATATAAAAACCGCCATCTTTGATGCCAAAAAAACAGTGTTGGAGAGCCATGCTTCATCACGAATGGATTTCATTCTCTATCCTCAAATGCCCTACCCGTAAATCCATAACTACCACCAAGAGGCCGGCAACGCATCTGTAGCAACTCCTTTGTCCATGGGCGGTGCCGGTTGCTTACCATCAGGTAATTCGACTGCTCATTTGGTAACGTATGAAACTTAAGTCCACCAGTCCACGATAAAATCTTGTCATGGTTTGTGCTAGAAATATAACATGGTGTTAAAGTACCTGTGATTGCCAGGGTGAAGCTGATGGTGCACTCATTGGATACTGTTGTCCGCTGGAACTGGTCTGTGCTCCAGGGTTACTGATATTGTACTGTGTCGGACCTTGAAAGTTGTCCTTCATAATCGTTACCTAAAAGAGACGTTTACTTAACTAAAGAAGAAACCTTTGTATGGTTGCTTCCATTTATGAGGTCACCAGATACTGTGAACTTCTATAGTTCGTTCCTTAATTAGAGACAACGATTTGACATTTCGAGTGTTGCAAGTTTTTTCCATTTCATAAATAGTGAAGTCCCGTGACCGGTATTGACCGAAAGACCGAAATTAAATGCTGGACTTCGTGCATTTTAAAAGCTTTATTAATTGTAGCTACTTTCCGTGGTACCTTCCTGTGCCCATACTTACTCAGTCGGGTTAAAATCACAATGGTAAGGAGGCAACCGTAAAATAGTGACCCACCTTTTAGCGGCTATCAGTCCACGACGTATCGTTCATAATTACTCTTCTATTTCCGGGAAATCTCCAACAGCTCGGCTTTCAGCATAGGTTCCTCAAATATAATGTTTTTCTTTTAGCCAGTCTTGGATTTGGCATTATTATTTTAAATTATTATTATTAATTCCACTAAACTATAAAAACATCACCGCAACGTTGTTTTATTTTGCTCAGGGTATTTTATAAAAAAACGGTATCGGTATTTTATTTAAAACATCGTACTCGGGTCCACCACTATGTTAAAAAATCTGGCCACATTATTTTGTAGTTTGACATTTGCTGTTGTCAAATTGTTGTCTCTAATTATTATGGAACGAACTATAAAAGACCGTGGAACTTCTTAAATGGTACCCAAGACTAAGAATTTCTCCTGTGTCGTGGGTATATGTATTTATAAACATACTAGCTCACATACATATCAGACATCCACAACAACAATATGTAGATCACACAAAGAGTTGTGCCGTGCGGGAATGAAGCTCGCAAAAATTTGCGCATCAAACTGGTAGCGACAACTCTGCTGATAATATAAATGAGCATTTTCCATGAATGAGGTTACAGGACGCCAAATTCCCTCCTCCCTCTCTTTCACCTCCCATCCTCAAATCCCTAATTACCTACAAGTCTGGCAATGCACTTAACTTGGGGGGTTATTAATGGGGGGCGTTGATTACTTTCCAGCAGAATTTGTGGTTTGCGCTGATCCATAAAAAACCTGGATAAATAACCATAGATGTATTCACAGAACAGAAAATTAAGTAGAAGTGCCCCTACAGTCTTTCAAAAGGAAAACCAGTGTCGCCAAAATCACACATTCGCTAATCAAATTGTCCATTACACACATAAAAAACAGCTATATAATTGGGTAAAAAGATGAAACGCAACTTTAGCAAATCATCTTCTAAATGTTGTTAAAAATTGAGTCTTATAACAATGAGCGAAAGTTATTATCATTTCACATGTCACAATCAATAAAGGCGTCTATCGTGTAAAAAACTTAAATAAAACAATTTACAAACGGGTTCAGCCACTCAACGCTAGATGGCGCTGTAACAAATTCATTCTATTCAAAACGCTAACTTCTTTGAAATAGATGTCATATTTGTATGCGCTTGTACCAATAGACATTACTATTTTGCTACTCAGATAGGGCAGGGTATCCCAATATATCGTTGTTATTTATTGTATTCGTGTGAGCAATATATGTAATTTATCGACACGATATATCTACATAGTAATGGAAAAAGGTTCTAATAGAAAAAAAAGAAAAACATTAACATTTTTTGAAGATTTAATATTTTTTGGAAATGGTCAAGTTATTATTAAAGATTTCGATTTTAACATATAAAAGCACTACGCGCTCCTACAAGTTTTATCTCCTTTCCAACAAAAATATAATTATTAAAATCGGTTCATAAATAACGGAGACGAACGAACAAAAAAAAACATGTACGATCGAATTGAGAGTCACTCTCCTTTTTGTAACTCTGTTAAAAATCATGTACAACATTATAAAATAAAAATGGTGATTAACCACCCGCACCTACCACAGACGGATGCACGCTGTGTGTGGTTAAAACGTTGATGTGTCTATGCAATCTTAGTTAAACATTTATGAATTATACTCAAAAATTGTAAAAATCAATTTTCTGAACGATGATGATGAAAAGTTCTCGATACGAACCTAATTTACGAATGTGTCCCATCCCTAAATGAGTAGCGTCGAAACTACTAGAATATATTGTATATAACGTCACATAACGAACAAGTAGATTTAAACTTAATTGTAATAAAAATAAGGCCCTTTATAGTTTGCATTGAAGTAATGAAATGTGATATTTACATTAAAATCAAATATATTTAAAATTAACAAAGGTTAATACTCAAAGATGATACGATACCCCACCACAAGACTCATCTTTTTTTCTGCTTACTTTTTTGCAGTTGAAAACCGCACAACAAGGCATAATTTCTAATATATTTCGTGTTTCTTAGAGACAACCATGACAACCAATCATGACAACGGATCGAACGATTCTGACAACAAATGTGCCAAAATGTTGTATATCTACTCATCATGTTGGTTAGCGCGCGATGTCTGAGCGGCACTTCCACTGTATTTTCTATTCCGTGGATGTATTGTTTGCTCTCCATTAACAGACTGAAGTATGCTGGTTGTTGGATGTATATATGTACATTCAATTAGCGTATGTTATCAGTTATGAGTGGATTAATCAAAAACATACCGATTTCTCTTGCTGGTACGACTGGCTAGGATAACGACCATGCATGGGCGCCCGGGAAACACTACCAGTATCCACCGTCTCAATGCTTCTTAGAGCGTGACGAACTTCTTGACGTGGCTGTAAATTCAACCGTAATATTAGTGAACATAAGACTTCTTTCTCTTATATGGGTAATAGTTTCCAATAACCAATCATATTCCGTATCACGCCTTTAATTAAATATTGTATTTTTAGTGTTGTAATACTCAGTATATATTGGTTATCAAAATTGCACTAAGTATGAGATTTTAAAGTGACTTCTGATATAAGAATTCTTCTTATTTAATTAAAATTTATAGAATCCCTCCACTTTGTGCAAGCACATGACTTTTATCACCCTCCAAATTTTGTGAGGCTATTCAACTTCACGATTGGGAACTAAGACTTACTTATAATTTAATTTTTTTCTTCAACGTTTTCATATACCTACTAGGTAACTATCTCGTCGAATTATTACGTGAGTCGGTGAGTAAGCCGAAAACATAATAATTAACGACATACCTCTCGATTTACGTAACATATTATAGTTGAATGCATTTGAATAGCCTTCCAAAAAACGGAGGGCAACAGGCAGTTACTAGATATCGAAACCTTAGTAACACCCTGTAGCATGCTTCATAGAGCCTTACTTTATGAATAAACAAAAAAAACATGACAAACGTTACAATTAATTTGTTTATTAACAATATATAACAAAAATAAAAAGAAAAAAAGAACTAAGAATTAACTAAAATTCGCGGGTTACTCACGTGAGAATGTTGAGAAAAGCTCTACTAGTTTCGAACCCACAGAGGGGTTCTTCCTCATGAGCAGCGTGCGCGGACGCGGCGACGTCGCGACGTCGCCGCGTGATTCGAAACTAGTAGAGCTTTTCTCAACATTCTCACGTGAGTAACCCGCGAATTTTAGTTAATTTAGTATGTCTCACGATAGTTATTATGAAAACAAGAACTAAGAAGTAATTTTCTATTCCATAAAGTAAGACTCTTCCTCAGTTTTATTTTTACCGCACGTCATTGTCTGAAGACAATCCTGGCGGAAACCACAGAGATATTTTACCTAATCAAGAAAGGAACTAGCATCTGTGGCTTCCGGCTGATCGCGCGGAGGATTTTAAGCGTAGGCCACATCGCAAAACAGCGAATGAGCGAGCGGATAAGCCGAGCGAAAACTGTTTCATCTCATTTTATGCGTCAGTTCATACGTTACGTTCAGCTATCATCTGGCGTACACCTGCTGAACATAGCCTTATATATAACCCCACGCATAGCACACAGTTTGGGGATCACGCTTATGTCACCGAAAGTTGCCACCCTTCGGTAGCAAGCAGCAGTTTATGGACGTACCTGGGTCCACGTAGGCTAAACAAAACCGCAGTGATAATGAAACGAAACGCGCCCATCTCGCTCACGCGTTAGCAGGCGATGTAGCCTACGCTTAAAACCCTACCAAATATTACGAGGGTTTCTGTGCAAAGCCATAACAGCAAAGCGGTTTTATCCCCCGGTGTCCAAACAAATTAAATCAATTGCTTTGACCAGTTTACCAACTGTCTCTTACAATATATGTATGAGTAAACTAGATCATGTATTAGGTCTTTACTAAAAAATGCCGTATCTTAACGACAATTTTAAGCGTAAAGACCCATTATCATGACAAATATTGTGGAAACGAACGCACCTCCAAAACTAAATGCTTTAGCCCAGGCGTGATGATGTTGAAGGAGACTGGAATTGACTGGATCCTTCCTTTCTTGATAGTTTTAGAGACAAGGGTACGGGGAGAGGGAAATGTAACCTATCATCTTTTATGGATTGCTTGTATCTCTATCGTTTGCTGTAGAGAAAATATCGTCTAAACAGTGCCAAATGTGGAAGAATCTAGACACATTATGGGAACAACGAGATATGCTGCCTTATTTCTAATCTTTCAGAGTGTCATACTCATTCTTTGCATAACAATAGAGCAACGCCTTTACATATAATTTCGTACCGGTTTCGATTAGTGCGCAAACATTTTTATTGCGATGTTGGATTCTGCCAATAACGCCATCTTTTGGCATTCGTTTTCACTCCGACGATTTCTGGGCAGAAGTATTTTAGCTATTCTTGACTGCTAGAGATAAATCATGTCATGTCATATCAGAGTAGCGCTTAAATGTAGTGTTTTGTTCATATAGGCGATAAATAGAGTGAGCAATTTGCTATTTAAATTCCCATTGTCAATTTTATCTTAATCAGTTTTGTTAAAACAGCTTGATTGATGACCTTGATCAAATATTTAATTTTAACATCGTCCAGTTTCATATCCATTGTAGTCCAGTCCATACTATCACATTATTATCATAAATAATTAAGTCCAAATAATGCAAAAACTAATTCTAACCTATTCTAATGAGTAATACTAACAATTTTCATTTCTTTTTATGTCGTCGAAACGGGAGGCAGACCATTAAGTTGTGCCCATATATTACAGTGGGCATTCGATCCAGGATTATTTTTCTCATCAGCCTTTTTATTTGGCGGTGCCTTTTTCTTATTTTTTATCAAATGATAGGCTTTCTTAATGCCTACACTTGAATTATTCTTAGATCGTCTTGGTTGAGCAGTTGAATTATTATGGCCAGGACGGGTGTTATTGCCAGGCGTATTATTGTTCTTATTGCCAGGCTTATTATTTTGTTCGGACTTATTATTTTGCCCGGGTTTATTATTTTGTCCGGGTTTATTATTTTGCCCTGGTTTATTATTTTGCCCGGACTTATTATTTTGTCCAGGTTTATTATTTTGTCCGGGCTTATAATTTTGTCCGGACTTATATTTATTACCGGGTTTATTGGTATAACTAGGTCCACCTTGCGGTATAGGGTTATTTTGTTTACCAAATCCGTTATTATTGTTCGGGCCTCTCTCTTTAGGTTCATTATTATTTCGAGGTTTATTGTTATTGCTATTTGGTTGATTCGATCTATTATTTTTGTTAGGTCCACCAATATAACTACGTCCAGAATTATCTAACCAACGACTATTTTCTGGTCCCATATTACTGTGGGCTCTTTTATTAGCTTTGTTTCGTTTACCACCTCCAAAGTTCTGCGGGTACGAATAAGGTGGAGTGTTAAATTCATCCACATAACCACTCATTGCCTCCATCGGGTAAGGCGGGATATTCATTGGGCCCCAAAACATTCCTCCCATCGGCCCTGGACCCCATTGTTCGTATGGTGTTGAATACCATTGCTCGGACGGCCCTGGACCCATTTGTCCTATTACCTCTGGGCCCATTGATCCCATAAAGGGGCCACGTTTTGGTCTGGGTCCCATAGGACCGAAATGTTTCGGCGGTTTTGGCTCGCTCTGTATTATATCATCTAATTTCGATTTTATTCTGATTTTAATTTTCCTTTTCATCATGTAGATAATGAAGTTATTTTCAAGAAGAGCTGGCACTGTGTTTCGGTCTATTGAAAAAGTAACAGAAATGCCATTGGTGTTGTCAGGTTTTATATGAGTAATGCACCAGTTAGAGAAATCTATTCCTGGATTTTCCTCTTTAAGAGCCTTAATTATGGTCCTATCGTCGGCTTCAGGATCTGGTATATAAGCTACTCCGATAACTGGCTTAGCTGTTTCTTTCAAGTTAATGAGCTTAAGGGATGCTCCCTCCCATAGATGCAAATCTGATAAATGCTCTTCAAGCCATTTTACTGACTCCTCATTTGTAAAAGCAAGTTTTAGGGCCCCATATTTGGCAGAACAACCGGAGATGCTTAGGGTATCTTCATCCTCCTCCACAATATCCAAAACTTTGTCCTGAATTTTATCGAGTTGCTCCTCAGTCAGAGGCCCTTGTGAGTCAGTAATACGAACACATATGTACGTACCATTCGATGTGTCCGCTTTACTGATTATTTTTTCAAACCTTTCTGCCCTTGCCTGCTTTTCAGGGTCTAATTTACGTAAGGCTCTCTGTTGTTCCTCTCTCCTTTTCTCTTTCTTAGCAGCACTGTATTCAGGGATTTTATTGAAGCGTGTTTCGCATAATTTCCTAGCTTCCATAAACGTTTTCCCTCGCTTGATCCACCAATAAAGTCGTCTCCTACACGTAGATGATATTTTTGAAAGATCCCGCAATCTTGCTTCTTCCCTTTTTTTAGCTTTCTTACTAAGTTTCTTTTCTTCTGCTTCATTCTTGTTTTCACTGGACTCAGTAACTGTGTTATCTTTTAAGTCATCTTTGTCCTCTTCAGGATTAGAGGTTGCATCGTTAGAGGAAGGATTTAAAGGATCAGGGTCGTTAGAGTTATTAGGTAAGTTGGGAAGTTGCGTCTCAGTTTCACTTTCTACTTTTCGGAACCAGCGGTAACGGGAGTTCGCCTACCAACAATGGACACATGATGTTATATATATTTATTTCTTTACTTATTTACAGGTGATGCATTAAAGATTATATTTCTTATATCATTTTACAATGTTTTTTTTTTCTTCTTCAAGGAATAATGGAATGCATCACCTATTTATTTCTAGATGTCACAATCATTTAATAGCCTTAACCATCCATCAAAAGAGAAATAAAAATAAATGCTGCGATTTATGGATGCTTTGCGTAGCATCGACAAAACATCTCAAATGAAAAGGACTCTAACTTCAGCAACTAGCTTCAGTAGCAGACCAAGTATAAAAAAATTAAGTGAATTTATTAATGACACACGTTTTTGTGTTCGATGCACAACCCAATAAGATGAATGAATGTTTAAAAAATTCAGTTTTTAATTACATCTCGTATCTACTGATCCTGATCAACCGGAAAAACTGCAGTTTTATGGTTGTTGTTAGGTGTTATATTTATATCATTGCTATAACGCAGTTTTCATAGAGACGACCAAGGTTTGCGCGACTTTTCATGTTGGTGTATCGTGTTTTTATACCTACTTGACAAGCTTTGACTATGGTTTTACACGTGTATTTCATCGGGGAATAGTGAAGCTAACCAATATTAAAAGAATTACTTAACTCCGTAAAGTAGGTGGTTCCGGAGCCTATTCAATAATATTAACAAACAAACAATCAAATTATACCTCTTTATAATGTTAGTATAGATTGATTTAGTAAGATATAAAAAACGTTTACGTGGAGCAATTCCGATACGCGGATTTGGATGAGGAGCCAAGTAGCAAATAAAGCAAACATGCCAGCCCGGCTCGTCTTATGTAAGACCGCGTTATTGCAATGATGCACTGCAGTTTTCAGTTGTATAGGACCATAAGCGACACTCACCATCAAAGAACTCATTGAGGGCATGCTAAACAATGTTTTATTAAGTTTTTCTCTTTGGCTTAGACCGTACTACGGTTAAACCGCTGCGGTTTTAACTGCTTTCCACAACTAAATTTAAACGAAACAAACAACGTTGATAGCCTCCTTAAGTCATTTATAGAGAACTTAGTTAATAGTTTAGTTAGTTAGCTATGCTTTAAGTTGAATTTTTTTTTTTAATTGGTTTCGTGTTTTATAACCGTAACTGCTCGCAGGAAGAAACCGTAGCGCCACCTTACCTAAATGACTGATGAAATGTCTCAGATACTAAGTACACATGTGAGCTAAGCAAACAGAACATAGTGAAAATTTCACTGTGAAATAGGCCCTAGTAACTAATATACTATTATGTTTTAATTGTAAACATATTTTTAATTATGATTGCGCAGTAACAGTAATGTTACTCAATCTTAAGATGTTGCTATATATTTGGTATATTGAATATATTTCAAGAATGACAAGTAAACCTTTATTTGTTAGCTACAAAGGTTTCTAAGGCCAGACAAACAACTTGTAAATTTGTTTTACTTTTGTATTAAGTGGTACTTACAGGAACTTCAGGTATATTGGCCTTGGGTGGGTATCCCCCGTAGGTCTGTTCCGTGTGGGTTCTAGGCTGGTTGAAGCCTGGCCTGACATCAGACCGTGACTGTACCGGATTTTGATGATGCTGAAAGTTATAGATGTTAATTTCATGGGACCAGCAATTTTTCTTTAAAATAGATGCAATTTTCAAACTATATCCTCCATACAATCTTTAATTATTAATTGTCTTAAGAATGTAAACCAATCTACCTGTTGTCCATAGGGGTTGTTAATATTTCCTTGAGGAGAATTAAATCCTCCAAAAGTATTTTGCGGTACTTGTGATGCCATTGGTGGACCTGCACCCCATTGATTGGAGGTGGTTCCTGAGGCCCATGGTGAGGGACGGTTCACATCCATTGGGCCTGAATGTCCACCTGGGCCTTGAGTTGGCCTACCTACATGAGGTGCTGAGCCGTGCATACTACTACCATGAGGATTTTGGCTATTGTAGTTGTTACTATGTCCAACATAGTCATTTCTGGGTGCAGTGGTGTAATCATTTCTAGAATGGTCCTGGTAACCCATGTGGGTGTCGAAGGCACCCTGTGGTGGTAAAGTTGTCTGCAAACAAGAAATTAATTTGGTGACTTGTACAAAAGGAAGTGGTGCTACCAACTTACAACACAAACCGCTTTAAAGTAATTTCCCACCCCTAAGATGACCCACTGACCAATATGATCTTAAAATATGTTTTTATATTATTGTAATTTATTTATGCATGGTGCATTAAATAGTTAATAACGACACATACTATGTAAATATGTAATAAAAAGCTCAACACAGAACACAGAGAATCAAATTATCTACTGCACCTAAAAATTTGTTAGGATCGTCGTTTTAATACTTACAGCAGCTTTTCCTACAGGTATCGCTTTCAATACGTAGTTACCGGGCATCTGATACCCATCGAGACATTTCATTACTTTGTAGCCCTCGGAATTATCTGTGAGGCCTACTCTTACTTTCTTGGTACCGACGGCGGCGCTATCATTCACAAGATTGTCAAGGATAAAGTCATTAATATTGCACTCTTGTTTTATTAATATCTTCACATCTTGATATTTTGTCTAAAAATAATGCTCATCATTAGTAGAGTCAAAAATAAACAATTATAACAATCAACTTAAAAGATAACCATGCACCAATACATACTTTGGGGGGAAACCCAAGGATTGTTATCATCATCTTGACTGCTATTATTGAAATCCTTTATTTTGTTAAGAATTTAAATCGAAGCACAAATTAAACAATTACAAAGGTCGATTTTAAACGAAAACATTGATATCGTTTTGCAAAGCGACATTCATTACATTCGCCATTTACTGAACGAATACCACAGAGTACATTTTAACAATATGAATACGAATGAAAAATTAAGAATGAATGACGTCGATTTTCATAATGGAGGAACTATATCTATGGTTCAAGATTTTCAATATTTCTATTGTATTCCATAATAGATGTAATTCCTCAGTTCATTCCATAATTAATTCATCTGTAGGGACACATGTCATAAATATAATACAGTTGCATTACATAAAGGTAATACAGTTGCATTGGTTTCGCTGAATTGACCGATTATGTAGGTATGTATCTAGAGGCATTTGCGCTCGCCGTATAAGTTTACAGTCTCAAATATATGGAGTTACACTTACAACGTGTATTATTTCTCTCTCTACTAAACCACTTCTGATATAAGTACATTAGGTGCTCATAATTACCTAAATCCATAATCAATTCTTACTTTTAATTTTGTAGCATCGACATTAGCTCCTGGTAAAAGGCAAGTGCAAGGATAGATAATGTACGTATTTATACTATACTCGTTTCTTAGTCATTCCCCCTTTGCTTGCAATTAATTTGTACAATTCCCCGTGGATTAACATTCCTCCTATTCCTACATCATAAACAAAGTCCTAGCCAAAGGTTCTAATGTTGCTAAAATAGAGTGTTACCAAAACAAAATTATTTGTGCCTATTGTACTTCCGTTCCGATTTTAGGAAATCATTTCATTCATCGCTAGAGAAGTCAATGTCAATTTCAATTTGACAAATTCGATCTTTCACCTCCATAAAACGGCATCCGTTGTGCCTTCTTTACTACTTTTCTGCATTGATTGATTTACATTTTACTGTATTCTGCATGTTTATAACACATACAGTATTATTAAAAGCGGTTATCGATCAGCATGTTGCTGACCATATTTAATTTGCCGTCATCGGTAATACATTAAACTATCACAGTGTTTGAAATGTGATTTAATTTTCTTTTGAAATTTTTGTTTTATTGCATGATATTTTTCAATAAACAGACGCGGTATGGAGATGTGAAGTCATTGATACAAAGTAATTGTGGCCTGAGTGACGTGATCTTGGATAATTTGGTAAACGATGTAAATAACACGAAGAAAGTGACTGTCGGTTTACCTGAAGAAGAAGATGCCGCCTTACTTGTGAGAAAGATTAATGGCATGTTTCTGGAAGGAAAGATTCTGTATGTTGAAGCTCTTAAGAAAAAGCAGGTGCGTAATGAACTCAAATACTTACACAAATTCGTTAACAAGTAAAAGTAAAACAAGCAATTAGTCCAATGTAAAATGGGTTAGTCATAACCACTCAGCGTCAGTGGGTTGGAGATCGCTGGCAGTGATATTCTTATCGCCGTTTTAGAGATGCAGATTATTAGAGAACACCAATGCCTGGTCTCTATAAATGTGTAGTTTTTATTGTAGTTACTTATCAAGTTTTTAGGGCAAAAAAGTTTGGATACAGGCTGAAACATCCAATAGACCAAGCAGCTCTTGACATACCTTTGTAGATTTACTAATTTATTGATTTTATTGTCATATCCCATTATTAAGCAAAGGCTTCTTACATAGGGAGAAATTATTACAATTAATCACTAGGCCTGCTTTAGACAAATTACCAATTTCTAACTTATATGAGAAATTATAATATGTCAAAGTTTAGATACTAGGTACTGGGTGTTTAAGTTAACATTTTAATTACACATTACATGGAAAAAGTCACTGCATAATGTGTCCCATTCAAGATTGAGCCTATGCTAGCTGACAATTGCAAATTTTAGAAAAATGAAATCTGTTAAAAATTAATGTAGTTTTGTAAAATAAAATTCAAATAAATCCGCCCCCAAGGGTATCCACCTGACCCTGATCTCACTTCACAGTTATATATATGTAATGTTTTAAATATTTATTTTTCACTTAGGCTAACATGAATCAAGATAATTTGCCGAAGCCAGCTTATGAAGGAGGTCCACAAACCATGCAACAAAGACAGGTAGGACTTTTTTGTTGCATTCAGGCCTTGACAACCTAGAAAAAAAACAACAAATTTAATGTTAATGTTAGTTTCATAAATTCTGTATTGGTTATAATAGCAAGATAGAAATGGGGAATTTCACAAATTATTATGCGTTGAACAAGCTATGATATACACTGGGCTCACCACAATAAAACACACTTAACTAATTTGGCAGTTTCTCTAGGTTGGCCCTGTAATGTACAGAATAAGAGTAAAACAAGTGGTATAATACACTACTTTAATTTAATTCCTCGTCACTGTTTGAGACTGCCTCATTGTATGTGCGTGTGATGTGTTTGTGAAATTGTATGTTTGAAAATGCACCCACAACACAGGAGATCATCTAGTGTAGGGCAATATTTTTTTTATGTGGCTGTTCCTCAAGCAATCTCTGGTTTGACTCCCATATTAAACAAAGGATTATTAGATTATCCAATTTATCTACAATTTCTCAGTAACAGCACAGAGTTTGGAATTGTACCTCATATGTGGCAAAAGACTCGCCTCCTGTTGTAAGAAGGGTATAAATATATTAATTATTACATTGATTCTGTCATTGAAATTATTTATGGTGTTACATGTTGTCTACAAAATATTTTTTGTTTGTGTCTTAGATAAATTTTTGTTAAATTTTGAATGTGGCTGAAAAAATTTTACACAATAGCTAAGAAACATTTTATGAAAACATTTTATCAAGTATGTCGTTTTTTATTCTCCTGCATACTTTTTATTTTTTACATATGAATCAAGTTATGAGGGTATGAACAAATAGTTTTGATGCTTCAGTCTCAAACCGTTGTATACTTTTCCCCCTATTATATGTGTCTTACAAAAAATTCTAAAAAGTGGGTAAACCTTGTGTATGTGGTATTATAAGCTAAGTTTGCCATTAGGGGATAAATAATGTGACATAATAAAAAAAAAGTCAATTTCGAAGGTAATTTATAAAGTTTAACATTTCACCAGCAACCATCTGCAATGATGCATACACAAACAGCTCGGCCAGCGATGGTCCAGCAGCCCATGCTTCAACAACCGTATTATCAGCAGAACAAGTACCACACTCAACCCACTCCATCAGGATATCATAGCATGCCTCTGCAGCAACCTCCGATGCCCTTTGCTGGAGTCTACAGGGTCCAGGTAACATTTTTATATACTTATATTTTTTTATTAATTGCAGATTTTCCTATCTAATCTTTAACCTACAATTATTCAGGTTTATAAAAGCGAAAATAATGTAAATAATAATAATATCTAAAATAAAAGGTACATATTGTTAGAACTGACCATTTGGAGAAATAGTTAACATGGCACGAAATTTATTCGGTTTACAAGTTATGCGAGTTTTGATGGCCTGTTAGATTGATTATTCGATGAAATGAAACATAAACTAATGATTGATATTGCAAAAATTAACAGCCTTATTACAAAGCAACGTTTTTCTTTAGGCTAGGTCAGAAATATTGAGCTAGTTTTTGTATTTAAAATTGACGGTAGGTGAGAATAAGATTCAAAATACAAAATCTGACTAAATGGTTTAATCCTAGACTAAAGATAAATCTTGTTTTGTAATAAGTATTTGAAGTAACGTCATTATATCGCAAAAGGTTTCGGTGCAACTCAAGATTTATTTTGCCTACCCCGCACATGGGACGTGGACTTGGGAGGGAGAGTGTACTGTGGAATTGCAGAGCACGAGAACAATGTGGCGTTTATTGATACAATATTATAACCGTTATATAAACGGTGTCCGGTAAAGAATGGATAATCTTGAAGTGCCTTTAAGTATATTTTGTGACCAATTTAAGTGTGGGAGAGCCATGCTTCGGCACGAATGGGTCGGCTCGATCGGAGTGATACCACGGCCTCGCAGAAAACTGGCGTGAAATAACCAAAGAGTTGTGTTTCGCCGTTTGAGTGAGGTTACCGGAGGCCCAATTTTTCCCCTATCCCAATCCGTTCCCAAAATCTCCAAATCCGTAAAGGTCGGCAACGCACTCGTAACTCCTCCGTCGTTGCGGGTGTCCATGGGCGACGATCAGGTAATCAGTTTGATCGTTTGCCGACCTATCACATAAAAAAAAAACAAAAAATTTACAAAAAAAAAGGTTTTTATGAAAAAAATGCAAAATTTATTTTTGCAGCAATGTTTAATCAATAATCATTGTTATGCAATAATGTAATGTACGTCAATGTTAAAGGATCATTTTCTATTTCCTCTAGCACCAGTTTTTCTACTTCAAGACATCATAACTTAGGTACTACTTATTATTATTTTCCTTTTCGTTTTTATTTCTCTATGGCCATAAGGTTATTTATTCTTAACCGGACACCCTGTATATTCTCCGAACCCGAGATTTTAGACTCTCCCTCCCTGTTTGGGTGCCAGACTCTTATTGACTCAAAATCTCCCCATTACTCCTCCTACTGCGATAAATCATTGCGCTTGCGCAACCTGAGCTGGATATCGTCCTTTGAGGGACCCATGTGTGGTGGTCATAGCTTTTTGAGGCGTGCGCGGTACGTAATGTGCTGACGCTGACGGTTTGGATCTGGTCGGCGAGCGGTAACTCGCCGCCCGTAAGTGTGGGTAAGCCAAGCTTCGGCACGAATGGGTCGGCTCGACCGGAGTGATACCACGGGACCACGGCCTCACAGAAAACCGGCCTGAAACGACCACAGCGTTGTTTCGCCGTATGAGTAAGGTTACCGGACGCCCATCAGGTAATCCGTCTGTTCGTTTGCTGACGTATTCCATTAAAAGAAAACCCGCCCTTACGGGGATTGGAGATTTTCACGCGATCTCCAACATCCGAGGCGTCAGCAGGTTAGTTTCATCACGTACTCCGCCCCCCTCTTTGCTAGCGTGACTGTTTTGCAGAAGGAGGAAACGCCTTCCCAGTTCCTCTTGCTCTAGATGGGAACTGGGAAGGTTGGGGGTGGTCAGTAAGATTGTTATACGCCCTCCTGGTAATAATGACAAGGTCATCCAGAATGGGACTGGCCAGGAACAGTCATTTGACTAGCGATGACTGGTTTTCATAAAAAATGATAGTTGCTTCAGCTGCTAGCATCATCAGTCATTAAAATTATGTTTCCTTAAATCTTTACAAAGCAATTAATTTATGAAAACTATGGGAACTTGCGTGAGTTTTTGTAAAAAATAACTATTGGTTTAAATGCTTAGTTCTAACAAAGGCCTGAAAAGAATGACTTCGTTTAGTAAGAAAAACTTACGTTTTAATTCCACACATACAAATACAGTGGTAGCGGTAGAGCACACATATAGTGGTATTTGCCAATTTTGATTTTTGCTGCAGTAGACCAAACTACACGTAGTAAGGTCATAGATATTCTTCTTGTGTTTTTTCCGTCACAGTTTTGCTTCTTTCGATATAGGAATAGTAAGCAAGCGTTTTCATGTTGCAATTGAATGACGTGTGTTCTGTCGAGGCGAATTGCAAGATTTTTTAATTTTCTTACCGAAAGTTTTAAAAATATAGCACCTTACAGATAACATGGTTACATTAGGTGAGTGATTTCAAAAAGTTCTTTGAAATCATAGAAATTCTGGTCAAGAAACCGCAAATAGTTTCTTCGAGACTTTTTTTATCGTTATTATTGCAGAAATACAAGTCGTACTTGCATTCTGCTTTAATCGAAAACTCTTCAGTATATTGTAAGTTGCGTCTCAAAAACATCAGATCTAGATGCAATATCATAGATTTGTTCCGGTCATTGTCAGAGTGGGCTGAAGTGCATAAAATTATCAATATTATGGGCAAACGGCCACTCTGACAATCATCCTCATTTATCTCTATACCGATTGCTCCATTAGGGGATGTTTTGTAACTTTTCATCAACATTCTTCCACAGAATCCAACTATCAGCTATGGCTATCCACAACAAATGCAGTACCAACCATCGCAGCAACCTATGATGGGACAGAATCTGGTTGGGTTTGATAAAAGGGGGGCTCCTCTTGGGTTCGGCAGCCAAGATAACAATCCCAAAGCCAGTTTAAATCAAAATGATTGGAATATGGCCGGGGATGCCTCTGGTGGGAATCAAATGTCCCAACAGCGCAATCCTAGGTTGCAAGGATGGGAGGCCACTGATCGAAGCAGTCTTTCTCGCCGTGAGAGTGCACCTCGTGACTCTAACCGAAACCAATCTTCGCGCGGCTACGGACGAGAAACGTCTTCCCGTGACGTGGGCCGTAACTCGTCTTCTCGCGACACCGGCCGAGACTCGTCTCGGCGTAGCTACGGACGAGATATGCCCTCACGTGATCGTGGGCGGAATGCATCCAGCAACGTCGACCGCAATCGTCGTCGGGTTACACCCAGTAACCAGTACGGGCAAGACCGGGGTCGGGATGCAACCAATGACTTCGGCCACGATCGTGGCCGGGACGCGCCCAATGACTTCGGGCACGATCGTGCTCGAAATGATTACAGACAAGACCGTGACCGGGATACAACTGGCAGCTACGGACGAGATCGAGGTCGGGATGACCCTTATAACTTCAAAGGTAATCGGGATTCACGTAACAGCCATGGTCGCGATACTCGTGATACTGGGAGGGATGCCCCCGGGCGCGAGCGCGGTCGCAACGCGCCCCCGCGTCGTACATCCCGCGATCATGACAAAGACTTATCACAAAGAAGAGCAGATCAACCTCGTGTGCCAACGAAACGCCAGTTTTCGCCTTCTGGCACTCGAGCATCTCATAATACAAATCAGTTTCCTCAGCGACAACAGCGAGGTGGTAAATTAAACCAACCTCGAGATAGGCCGCAACAACCGGCGAGATCCGACAGTAATTATGTACCACCTTCAAAACAACCGAAAAATGGCGATGGCCCGCAAAGTGCTCCACAGAGACCGAACGCTCCACAAAGACCGAACGCTCAACAGAGACCGAGTGCTCCACAGAGACCGAGCGTTCCACAGAGACCGAACGTTCCACAGAGACCAAGTGTTCCGCAGAGACCAAGCGTTCCGCAGAGACCAAGCGCTCCGCAGAGACCGAGCGCACCACTGAGACCGAGCGCTCCTCAGCAAACGACTGCTCAGCAGTCAACATTCCGCCGACCGCCACCTCCACATCTGGCAGATAAACAAAATAAAAAGAAAGACGCCAAAGAACGCATCTTGATTCGTTCAGCTACGTGGCGAAACCAACTTGCTTCTGCCGTTGGAAAAGAGGTTTTGCAAAATCCGGAACGCGACTTGAAAGGTATTGCCCGCGAAAAAATTTTGACTGAGGTGAAGCGTGCTATACGCATTCGTTTGCAAAAAATGTTTGGTGAAAATCATAAAATTACTTTACCTGAAATGTTAAAGATATATAGGGAGAAATATAGCGTTGATACGGACACAGACTTCTTCAACGAAGTAATGGAACACGTATTGAAGAATGGAGCCTATCCAGATGATGACGGCTTGGAAAAAGGTAACTTAAATATGTACTTTTAAAATATTTTTGTTTGCATGTTACTTTGCGTTTATTTACAATATTTTCTCACTTTATCAATTGAGAAAAAGTTGAAAATTATTACGTGTCTATTTTGTTGATAACGCACAACATTATAGATACCCTGGCAGAGGATTTATTAGATCACACGACAGCTTTCGGCAATTCGAGTGGGTCTTTACTTTAAGTATGCCTGTTGAATGTTTGCAAACTGGCCAATATTGCCATGAGCTGATTTTTCTGTGTAAAAATTGGCTTTTGGCGATAAGGCAGAAGAATCAGGGTGATTGACAAGATGACGGCGACGCATCCGTAAATAATTTTAGCTAACTCTCGCTAGTTACTAGCTAGTGTTTACGTGACTTAAAATATTGTAGGCAATTTTCTGACCTCAAGTTGTTATCAGATAACTGTTAATAGCTAAGCCTGTTAAAGAAATAGCACGCCATAGTGAACGGACGGAAAAGGCAAGCAATGCACAATTCATACGGGCGTGAAACAACTTTTATGTTGTGTGTCGCCACGTGAAATATTAAAGTCCAATCGTCTCCCCTTCCCATCCTCAATACGCAAATCTTCAACAACCGACAAAATGCCGTTTAACCAGCAACGCACTATTAACTTCTTTGGCGTTAGGAGTAGCCATGGGCGGCTGATCGATTACCACTGGGTGATCAGTCTGCTCGTGAGCTGACTAATCTATTCATATGTTGTCCAGACGGCTAGTTCTTAACCGAAAAAATATAAATATTGTAGTTTTTTACTGGTAAAGAAGTCTCAATCCATATTCACATTCCATCATTTGCAATCAACATTGCAAATGATAGTACTTTGGGCAAAAACATCTTGTAAAGGATAAAGTGTCAACTATGAGTGTGGCTATAACATCCTTTAAAGTTGTTATAGCAACTAATCTCAATGAGTCGCCTTATCCATGTACATGCGCATGATTTGGAGATGTACTCGCCATAAAGACTGTTTCAACATCCATATATTATTGGTGAGAATCTTGTGGCTACTAGTCACAGGATAGTACTGTCAGCCGGGGTTGCAGGTCGAGCGCGGTAATGTACCGCGGCCTCTGTCCGGAACCGGAAAAGGAGAACTGGGTGGTTTTTAGTCAGTAATAGTCTGACACAACTTCTGGCCCCATCTAGGGCGAAACAAGTCATTTAATGATTTTTTCCCCCTTAAAACGGCAGTACAGTCTAGCAGCCATTTTCTTAACTCTCCATAGCCCTCTTGGGTTTTCTCCTGTCAGAAGTAAAAACGACACACTTCACACCCAGACTTATACAACTTGACAATTAAGATGCTTGCCAAAGTATCTGTTGGGTGTTTGGAAATTTTTACACCAAGAGTTCAGAAAACGCTGCATACTTCGGAGAGTACATAAAACTGTAGGTTCCGGTTGTCACGCAAACTTCTGCGATCGTTATGATAGTTCAGAAACCCGAAAGTTAGAAAACAGATCTAGCCAAAATTCACTCATGTGTATATAAGTCGTGGTAATATCGAACTTCTGCTTAATATGGTGAAGGCTTGTAGCTTCTCCATCCTAGCTGGTAATGTAGGACTAACAGAAGTTCAAATGTGGGAGAGCCATGGTCCGGTAGAATGGATCGATTCGACCGGAGTGATACCACGGCCTCACAGAAAACCGGCGTGAAACAACTACAGCGTTGTGCGTCACTCACAAGGTTACCATAGGCCCTCTATGTATAGGACGATAGGCCCAAAACTTCCCCTGTCCAATCCCCAAATCCCTAATCCTCAAAAAGGTCGGCAACGCACTCGTAACTTTTCCGTTGCGGGTGTTCATGGGCGGCGACGATTGCTTACCATCAGGTAATCCGTCTGCCCATTTGCTGTCCTATAATTAAATAAAACATGGCTTTAAAGTGGCAATGGGATCGCCTCCTATTACATGCTGTTTCATTGGTCACTTTTGCCTAACCCTTCTATATTATTTTTGTGTAAATGGAACGATTACTCTGCAATGATTGGTTGGATCCGTTGACCGACCTTCAGGTTTCTGAATTATAACTCGTGTTTGTTGCTATGGCAACCGAGACAAACACTTTTTCGCGCTCTTTAATATCAAAATGGCAGTCTTTGACATTTCTGAAGTGAATAATGAAATGCATAGACAATATTTTTGTCGAAGTACCCTGTTTTTAGAGGAATTACCATGTATTTATCCACAGATTATATCAAGCATTTTGAGAATCAAGAGATGATTAAATGCAGTACTTAATTTAATGACTGTTTTTCTTCATTTTGTTCACGTCTGATTATGGAAAAGACGATTATTAGATACAAATTTTATTTTTACGTATAAATCTGCTACTCAAATCCTTAAACTTCAAAATCATACAGATTTTTGATCTGACTCCATAACAAGAGGATGTAATTTTCTTTAAGAAGTTATGAAGATGTGTATGACTTAACATTATTATAGTTATATAACTATAATATCAATACAATAAGAAATAAATGAAAGAAGTACTTCTTTTGAAATGATTCATTGATACTGTTTCAGTAGAAATAAATCATCAGATACTTACGAAATTAAGAGATTATTTTCAAAGAGACCAACTCTACTACAGCTTTTTTACGCTTAGTAGTGTCAAGAAGTCAGGTTTATCATAAAATGGTGTTTATTTTTTTAATAAAATCACATCTTGTTATATTGCAGACATTCCAGTACAAAACAAGGGACAGAATTTGATCGTCAAAATGGAGTCCGGTGAAGATACGATACCTCAATATCCACAAGGAGGTTAGTATAAATCTTTATAGAAATTGTTAAAAGTCAAAGTCAAAAATCATTTATTCCAATTAGACCCTTGCAGGCACTTTTAAACTTCAAACAAAATTTTGAAGCTGTAGTCAGTCTGTCGGTCAGTCCTCTTAGTGAAGCTATTTGCTCGTTCCAAAGTGTAGATTCCGATGGAGAAGAACGAGCAAGAAACTCCATGGTTACTCTTTTTAAATCAGTTTTCACAGATTCGTTTTACAAACAGTTGGTTCAATTATGTGAGAACAGTGTAAGACTAATATTTATTCAAATATAAAAAGAAAGTAACCTTAAGGACAATAGACAGTCTGTATTGATTGCAACACATAAATTCTAGTTGCTTAAGTAAGGTAGTGCTGCCATAGCAATACGGTAGTTTCCAACTAGTCAAATTCAATACTTTAGTCCAAACGTCAAAAACGATATTACATTTCTATGAAATTTGTATGAAAAACTGAGTTATGACGTCATAACATTTTTGCGTCAAACAGATTACTTATTTCTTAAAAATTAGCTAAAAAAAATCTAAAACTGTATAGATCGATCGATGAATAAAAGTATAGTTATTTTTCAAAAGTTTATTGTATTGAAACGTTGAATAATTTTTTTTCGACCTAGGAAACTACCTAAGCCTACCTAACCGTTTATTTAAAAGTACCTGTGACACGCGGTTTCAATCGCATGTTTATAGCGTACAGATATTCATCGGGAATAGTGTAACGTCAACATATTTTTTTTTAATCAGTCAACTTGTTATAATATCTATTCAATTTAAACATACAAGCCATAAAATATTTCCTCTTTTTTAATTAGGATAGACAAAAATGTTCGATTTCTCTAAAGATTTTTATGTGTTGCAAGAATATTTCATTTATAAATTAATTTTCTTCTTTTTCAGATAAGAGATTGAACAAAGGTGAGTCGATACTTACCTTCCACATTTCAGGTATTAATACACTTACTGGTGTAACTGTTGATGCACAGTCCAACAATTTGTGATACTTGTGACATTTCGAACAAATCAAGTCAAACTATAGAAATAGAAATAGAATTAATTTATTTGCAGAAAATGTATGTTACAGATATGGTGACATGTTAATTTATATTGTCTCAATACATTTCGCCTTACGGCATGCAAAGTATTTGTTACATAACGACTAAGTAGTTGACATTGACAACTAATTAAACTTAATTATCTTAAAACTTATAATATTAAACATTTTTACATTAAAACTCTAAATAAAAAAACTACTAAACTATAATGAAAGAAAAATGCTAAATAGAAAAAAAATACACAATAAAAAATAATATAATACTTAATATTTACAGTAACAATTTTTAATCTAATATTCATCATTTAGGAAATCTTTAATGTTGTAGTAGCATCTGTCCTGTAAAATTTTAACTAAAGACTTTTTAAATAACTATGTTTGACGAAGTCTGCTCATTTAAGGATTCTTATAATAAAATTAAAACTTGATATTCTTCAATAATATCTTATAGGGTTCCGAATAAGAAATCATGTTATTATTCCCGAGCGTACGGCGCTTTGCGTTCCGCGCGCGCCTCAAAGAAGGCTAATGTTCAGCCGGGGTTGCGGGGTAAGCTCAATAAGGCACCGCGGCCTCGGTCTTGAGCAGGATAAGGACGGGAGGTTTTTAGTCAGTAAGAGTCTGACACTCATCCTGGCCTCACCCTGGGCGGGAGAAGTCATTTGATATTTTTTCCCTGTCCAAAAATATATATTATTGTTTTTAGGTTTTTTCTTTGTTTATAAGTGGTCCGGTGACATCATCACAATCCACAAAGAATTTGACTAAACTGCTCACGTAGTGTGTTATGTCAGTTGGACGAAATTTCATAATTTATGTACGATTGTAGGCCTAGTAAGACAGTACAGCCGTCGCCGTCAGGAATTACTTAAACATAATATATTTTCTTACAGCTATAAAGAGAACAAATGCGATAATGTTCGAGAATGAAAATTTGCTCCTGTCTCAGCTAGAGCCCGCTATGCAGAAAGTGTTGAACGAAGAGGTTGAAGCCGTGAGCGCAGCGGTAAGCATTCTTTTTTAAACGCTTAAAGAGTCGTTGGACCATCATAGACCAGGGTTCCAGGGTCGGTGTAAGGAATGGGTTACGTGAGTGGCTAGCCATAAACCATGGCCCTTGCAAAAAGAAAGTTCTTAATCAAGAATTGTCAGACAGCCTTAACCATCCTTAAAAAAGTGTCCTGCATTTAATATATTTCATGCAAGTTCTTACTAGCTTTTTCGCTTGATTATATGTAACGGTTTACTCGCGCGCAGTGACCTCGTAATCACAGCTGTACACAGTTGCAGCCGAGTAAATCACATTTGTCCCACAAAGAGTTTGTATTATATTAATTTCATTATGTTGATATCATTTAGGTGACAGAGGAGCTCCAATTGGAACCAGAACCGGAATTCAAAGAGGCCCACAACCGCCTGAAGGCTTCACTCGTAGATGATTTTAGCAAGGTAGGTAACACCATGCATCACTTGTATTGAAAATAAAATATAGCGTTACCATTATCATCAGTCTATAAACGCCAACAGCTGAGCCAAGGCCTCTTCTCAATTAGAAAAAGTCAAATTGGTACTTACCAGAATTCGAACCCATGAGAGTGCTCATGCATGAGAAGTAGGGTCTTATACTCTGGGTCACCACATCCTGTTAGCATAAAGAATCTCACATTTTATTACCACTTTTAATTAAGTCGGATTGTCAATTTTAACTTAGGATTTGATTATAAGACTAATTTGCCTCAGTTATTTAGCTTCACCGTGTGTCAGTAGTGTCTTAATAAAAGTCATAGAAAAGAGTGAACTCCTTTGTTGCATGCCATACGTGCACTAGGGTACATACAATAATAAAAAGTACAACAGTAAAAATAAACAAAAAGCAACAAAAAAAATGCAACAATATTAAAATAGAACCTACAATAAAACAATTTTAAATTTTGTCGAATTGCATAATAAATTGTTTGGTAAAACATGTGAAAAGAGTTCTCAACATTTGGAAAGGTGGCTGTAGAATTGATAAATAATATCTTTCATTCCACAGGCTCTCAAAGTGAATATCGCAAAACGTATACTGAATGTTGGTCCGATAATGGTGAGGATATTCAGTATACCGAAGATAGTAAGCAGGAACAAGTTGATACCAGTTTTGTCTCAAATTGGTATAACCAGTCTCAGGAAGTCTGAATATAAGAAACCTCCAATTTACTACGGTACCTGCGAGTCGTATGCGGCTCACGACAGACTGTGTTCTATGGAACCAATTCTTGTTGGTAAGTTGGTTTTTTTCATTTTTTCTTTTTTCATAGGATAGGTCGGCCAACTAGCAGACTGATTACCTGATGGTAAGCAATCCACCCGCAAGACCAAAGGAGTTACGACACGTTGCTGGCCTTATAAGGATTTCGGATATTTAAGGATTGGAAAAAGATGGAGGGAGGGGAGGGTTGGGCCTCCGGTAACCTCACTCACACGGCGAAACACAACGCTGTGGTTGTTTCACGCCGGTTTTCTGTGAATTCGGTTGAGCCGACCCATTCTACTCTCCCACACTTTCATATGAATTTTCTCTACCATTTAAATTGCAGCTAAAAATAGACTAAGCTTCATACCTACATGAAGATTAAATCCCTAGTCCAAATCTGTCAACCAAAAAGTTTTTAATATTACTCTTTTGTCCTATATTTTTATATTTTTGTGTCTAAACTAAGTATACTTATTAAATTCCTTATAGTGTCATGTGTTTACATGTCTTTGTTTATACCTTTTCACCTTTAGCAGTAGCTCAATACAATATGTAAGAAATCCTCCATTAGCTAAATCCAAAGATAGGAGAATTAAACATTTAAATGCTTATCTTTCTAAACATACAAATTATTACAGATGGGTGCACAATAAAAATGAAGCCCTTGCATCTGACTGGTAAAATGAAATGGTCAGCTGACTCATCAAGCAAAACCTCGTTGTCTCAAGATGTTACTGAAAACACTGAGGAAGACTATGATTTAGATGAAGAAATGGAAGTTGATATGAATGCAGATGGTAACAATAGCCAGGAAGAAGAGGAAGACGAAGAAAATAATGACTCGTTCAACCAAGATGCTGGCAATGAAACAAAAGATGTTGAAGAAAAAGACACGGCTGAAAGTGTATTAGGACGGAATGACAGTCAAAACAGTATTACACCAAGCACAGAAACCAAAATAGAGGGTAGTGCTGATGAAAACACACAAGAAACATTGGTCACTCTTGTAGAAGACAGTAACGGAGCAGTGGAAGGAGAACGAGAAAGTAAAATCGAAAGTGTTGATCATGGAGAAGGACAAACAATTGGGAATGATGATAATAATGATGAGGATTCTACCAATAGAAATGATCAGATTGAAGGAGAAGAAAACTATGATGAAAATGAAGGAGGTTATGATGAAAATGAAGGATATTATGAAGGAAATGAACAAGGTGATGAAGGTGGATTGGAACAGGGAGCTGATGATAGTGGAAATACTGAAGTAGTAGGAGGACAAGAATTTATCCCGGAAGAGGAAGAACAACAAAATGAATATGAGGATATTGACATTGATGATGTTGATGAGAATGATTTAGAAGATTGGTGATTTAGTATGGCTATTCATCAAATGTTGTGTGTAAAATAATATTCCGAAAATTCTATTTTAGTGTTGTAAAATCCAAATCGGGTAAAGTTTAGAGACATTGTTTTGTTTTATCTGTACTTAGTAACAAAGCTGACTACTGGGCTTATGGATATTTTGTTAAAATTACAAGTTAATAAAGATGGCTCTGATGTAGTAACCAATGGATAGAATAAGTAATGTGCACTTGTATTGTCCGTAGTTTAAATAAGCTTATGATAATAAGTAAAGATAGCATGGACTATCTATAGCCACTATTTAAATCTACTATATAAGACTAAAGTGATTTTATAAAAATAAAATTATTTCCAAGGATTTTTACTATTTATTTTTATGACTATACTTACCCTTCTTTTTTTAAGAAGGGAATATCATTAAATGGCATGTTGTTTCGCCTAGGATATGGCGAGAGGGAGTGTCAGACTCTTGCTGACAAAAAAATCTAGATACTATATCTGCCTATATAACCATTGATTAAGTAGTGCATTGATTACTGTCAGACGATAAAAACGGTCTAGCGCGAGCGGTCCCTCGTTTATTTGAATCAAAAAGTACCTTATTGACTATAGCAAACTAAGGTATTAATGCGTTGACAAATATATCTCAGCACACAGTACCTCAATACCTCAGGAACAAACAAATCTTCAATGAAATTAGACAAATTGGTAAAATGCAAATCTGTTTCCAAATTACTTTTTCTGTCATTGCTACCCTATAGATTAATGTATTCTGTGGTTATTCATACATGATCAGCATCTGTATCCAGGCCATAAACTCCAAAAAAAAAAAAAAAAAGATCAGCATCTGTCAGAGTGTCAGCTGTCACAATCACAAAAACTTGTTTGTTGTCAAGTTGTCAATTTGTCTTTTGTTATCACAAACTTACTTTCAGTCATACCTTAACATCGTGTAACACATGAAATGTAAATAATAATATTTAAATTTGTGCCATCAATGAGTTTACTCCTTTCAACAAACAGTGTGTGACCTTGCAACAAATGTGTTAAATATGAAATAAATATTAAACGTGGTCTACTTATTTTCTTACCAATCTGGAAGCTCCGGAGACCAAATCGTGATCGATGTATTTCCCACTTTAGATTTCGGCTAGATAGTAGGGGTTTTCTCTAGTATGACAACACTGACACTTTATAGCGATAATTTAGGTTTATTTGGTTACAAAATATTTAGATTATTTGTTTATTTATTTAGTTTTATATATTGCACACATTCGACATGATCTTCTTTTTATTCACGAGTGACATTAAATTTTTCTAACAGTTAGTTGCCTAGCAATGTACCAAAGAGCTTTTCACTAGTGCTATGCAACCTCAACACTTTCCCTCACTAGTTGGAAAGATCTTGCAGACCCAAATCCTCTCTCAGTTTAACGAGTCTGGGTCTTGGTACTGCCTTCGTCAAAAGGTCAGCCAATTGCTCTGTGGAGCTAGTTTTCTGCACATTCAATAGACCTTCTTGCACAATTTCACGTACAAAGAAGTGACGTATTCGGATGTGTTTCGTCCGTTTATGAAATTCGGGATTGTGGGCAAGGCGAATGGCTGCTTCATTATCCACGCTTAAAGTTGATATGTCCGCCAAACTTGTAAGTTGAGCATAGATCCTCTGAAGCCACACAAGTTCTCGTGCACCTTCGCTCGCTGCCACAATTTCCGCTTCGGTTGTTGAAATCGCGACCGATGCTTGACGTTGGCTTAGCCACGAAACAACTCCATCAGCATACATACAAATAACGCCTGTGGTTGAGCGTCCACTAAGCTCATCACCACCGTGATCTGCATCACTATATCCTCGAATTACAGCTTTGCAAGGACCCGAACTGTATTTGATGCCATGGGACATTGTTCCTTTAAGGTATCTAAAGATCCTCTTGACTCTCAGCCAATCAGCTTCTGTCGGATTCTCCAACTTCCGTGATACTACCCCAACAGCATACGCGATATCGGGGCGCGTCCCTGTCATCAGGTATGCTAAGGCTCCTACTGCCTCTCGATAAGGAAACTTTTTCTCAGGTGCTTTCCCTGTTTCTGAAGTCACTGTTTCGATTGGTGTAGAGACGGGATTGCAGTCAATCATATTGAAGCGTTCGAGGATCTTCCGCGTATAAGCTTGTTGGCTTATAAATATAGATCCATCCTTGGAACGTTCTATTTCAAGGCCAAGGTAATACGAAGCCGGCTTGCTTGTGATTTTGACAGCTTGTCCCAGCTCCTTCAAAAATTTAGTTGCCAAAGCCTCGCTTGTAGTGGCCATGAGTCCGTCATCCACGTACAACGCCAACAAAATCTTATTGCCCCCTTCTGTCTTTGTAAAGAGACAACAATCAGCTTCATTCTGTGTGAATCCTTTTTGCAACAGAATGTCTTCAATGCACATGTTCCAGCAACGAGGAGCTTGCTTTAGGCCATATAGACTCCTCTGTAGCCTGCATACTTTCGAAGAGCCATCAGAAAAGCCAGGAGGTTGTGACATGTATATTTCCTGCTCTAATTTCCCATTTAAAAAGGCTGTCGCGACTTCAAATTGTGTTAAATGAAGTTTCTCTTGTGCAGCAATGCTTAAAAGAGCTCTAATGGTAGACATCCTGGCTACCGGACTATATGTCTCCTCATAATCTAGCCCTTTCCGTTGTCTGAACCCTTTAACGACCAATCGCGCCTTATATTTGTCTATGCTTCCATCTGGGTGTCGTTTAATCCGAAAAACCCATTTACATGGTAGCGCCTTTCTATTAGACGGGAGCTCGCACAGTGTCCATACATTATTCTCCTTGAGTGACTGAAGCTCGCTGGCCATGGCTTTCCGCCATTCCGCACCGTCAGTTCTACTTATTGCTTCATGGTAGCTCTCTGGAAAGTTTTCTGTGCCTACAAAGCAGACGTAGTCATCGAACTTCTTAGGGGGAGCAAGAGTTGACCTGTCTCTAAGGTTATATCTAGGTTCCTCTTCTCTCTGGGGCTCATCTCTCAGGGGCTCGACTACAATTTCCTCTTCTTCCCCTTCTAGTCGAGGCACCTCTACTCTCAGAGGCTCAACTATGTCAAGAGGTTGCTGTTCCCCTTCAGCCGGAAAATTCTCTTCCCCTTCAGCATCGACAAACTCTCCATCATCATCTTGCTCAGTAGTATCAGTAGCATCCTCAGACCCTAACCGTAATGTGAATTCAACATTACTTTGAAAAGTTATGTCTCTGGATTTGAATGTTTGATGTCCGTCCCACACACGATATCCATCGTCGTTTTCATAGCCAATAAGAATGCCTTTCATGGCTTTCCTAGACATTTTGTTACGCTTCTGCTTTGGGATATGTGCATAACATTCACTACCAATAACCTTGAGGTGTGATATTCGAGGTTTTTTGCCGTGCCATAGTTCGTATGGAACTTTGTCTGTCACTCGACTTGGGCCTGTTCTATTCAGAACATACGCTGCGGTATTAATCAATTCCGCCCACAAAATTTGCGGTAACTCATTCCTTGCATGCATCATACTTCTCGCGGCCTCTACCAGGGTTCGGTTCTCACGCTCACTACACCCGTTCTGTTCCGGTGTGTAAGGCATTGTCAGTCTGTGCTGTATACCAAAATCCTGTAGTATTTTCTTGACGTCCTTATTATCAAACTCGCCACCGTTGTCACTAAGCAAGGTTTTCACATTATGCCCAGCATTCTTTGCCTCTTTCAGCATCTGCAGCAACTTGTCCTTGACTTCTGACTTCTGACGTATGAAGTAAACCATACGGTAGCCTGAGTAGTCGTCCTTGAACAATACGTAGTACCGGAGTTTAGTTATGCTTGGTGCAAAAGGACCGCATACATCTGTATGGATTAGCTCTCCACATACAGTAGCTCTTTCCCTGGTTCCAAAGGTCTGTCTTTGGGACTTCCCATATATGCAGCCTTCGCATTTAATATTATCAGGCTTGAGGTTCACGCCTAATTCACGTTTTACGACGCGTATTACATGCCGCTTGTCCTGATGTGCAAAACGCTCATGATAGAGCTGCAGCATATTGGAACCGGTGACAGCATTTACCTGTATAGCTCTCGGTGTTGTTGGAATTACCGTTTTAAAGTCCAACTTGTAAAGGCCTCCCTTTGGGATCCTCCTGCCAACGACTTTAGTCATGCCTTCAATTTCCAACTTGCATTTTTTTGTCGTTGATGTAAAAATACTGTTCTGCGCTCTGTCTTGTGCCGCCAACGGTGAAAAGAGATTTTTTGTGAGTGATGGTACTAACCAGACTTCTTCAAGAGTAATATGGACTTTAGTTTCGTTGACCTTGGATTCAACTTTAACAGAACCTATTCCAACTGCAGGAATCACAGTCCCATCCGCTGTAGTTACTGTGTGATTTGAATCGAATTCACGAAAATCCGTAAACATCTTTCTTGAAACGGCTATGTGCGTGGTTGCTCCGTTATCAACATACCAAGATTCTTTATCTTGTATTTGATTAACTGTGCACGCGTTCACCATCAGCGATAAGTTCTGCACTTGGTTAGATTTAATGTCTGAATGTGACGTGCTTGGCTTTGGTGGTCTTCCATCCTTTATCCATTTCTTGCACTGTCTAACTCTATGTCCTTTACCGGAACAGTAGTTACATTTCAGATCATTTCTCTCCTTCTTGTGCTTACTCTTTTGCTCTGCAGGTGTAGTCACCAGTGCTTCCTTTTGGATGGTGCTCTCTGGACCACCTAAATCTCTTTCAAACGCGCAGAGATGACTCGTAAGACTGTCGATCGTTTTCTCAGACTGCTTCAGCATTAACCAGCTCGACTTAAAATTAAAATACCTGTCATCCAGAGTATGTAAAACCTTGCAGATAAGGAATAGATCAGGCAGCTTAGCTGTTCCGTCTACTTTCTGGATCTCCACTACTAGGTCGTTCCATAAATTCTTTAGCTTTGACAGAAGTGTAGGAATATCATCCTCTTGATCCCGTTTTAGCCCAAAAAATTCAAGACACAAGTTGTAAGCCCTGTCCTCTGTCTGCCTATCAAAAAGTCGATGCAGTTCTGCCCAAACTTCGTGTGCCGTTTTGTAACGCATAACCTTCTTTAACGTTTCTTCAGTCATATTGGTTGTCAGCATCAGGAGTGCACCGCTTTGAGTCCTCTTATATTTAGCCATTGCAGCATTATAAGTGCTTTGAGCAGCATCTCCTGCACCAGGTGGTAAAACTGGCATTGGAAGTCTATTTTCTACTGCTTCTAAAGCACCTTCCGTACCCTCAAGCATGACTGAAATTTTGTACTTCC